GTATCTCATTGCCGAGCCACTTTTCCCTGCATGTGGGGCCAGATTCTCCAATCTCCACGATCCGCAGTGGGATTGGAGACAGCTCCCAGAATCTGAACCCATTGGCCCTGCCATCCAGCATGATTCAATGGGATATAACATGGGGAATACTTAGATACATCTACATATCATATGTATATACAGATGTATATATATATATATCCTGAATGATATATAGCACATATATATATATATACATAGAATGTAATATATAATATCATTGGTACTGAAGTGCATGCATATATATATATATATATACAAAATATATTCAAAAATAAGGAATTATACATAATACACACCATCTTATATATATACACATAGATCTGATCTGCAATATAAAATCATAAAATTAACTATATCACATGTATGTATATATATATATTTATAGTTATCAATACTACAAGATGGTTAATACTGGCTAATGTATCTAACATATCATATAACGGAATATAGTCAAGGAAACTATGCAACAATAAAAAAACAGATATCAACTATAATATAAAACTAAAACATTTCAAATTTTGAATCTATAAAATATTTAACGTACATAATGATTAATGCAGGATATACATATAATATCATATAAAGTATTGTATAGCATTAATAAAGTATTGTATAGCATTAAAAAAACATGCATTTTCAAATAAACAACATGCTAAGCTTTTAAACCATGTAATATACCAAAAATGTGAAGCTATATCATGTATAAATATATGAATACTATACATTATAGAATAAGAAAAACACACATAAATGCTACATAGTAAACTATATATTATCATATGTGGCTTCTTCCATATATTCTATACAATGTATATATAAATATACACATGTATAGTGAATAAGTGAATATAAAGTACACTCTATCATTTGTCATACATACAATAAACCAAAGCAACATAACCTGTGTATCATATAGGATATGATATGATAACTTATGTATATATATATATATACATATTGATGATACAAATTAAACTATATATATATATGTAAAACATGGAAAAACATGAATATAATATAATGACATATAACATGATGAAATACACTATACTAATTTATTAAGATATAATGTAATAAACATAAAACCAATAAAATATAAAATACTAGAACACAAAATAAGCTGATATGATAAACTTGTACAGTATTTTATCATAATATAATGTACTAAATAACGAAATATAGTATAATGAAACAAAATTTTAATGAATCAACTAAAATATAATGTAAAACAGTAAGATACAATTCAATGTACAACTATATAATACTTGTATAACACAACATAGTATAATAATACTGCAATACAATACAATACCATCTAATATAACCCCCGTCTGTTGCCAGGGGGGGTGGAACCCCTAAAAAAATAAAATAACAAATAACTAAAAATAAGCTTAAGAAATCTCATTGGCTGCTGTAAGCTGCCCGTGTGTCTTTTGTTGACCAAGAAAGGCAATAGAAAATGAGGGGGGCCAACCCATTTTCGAAGTTAATGTCCAAGTAATTCCAAATCTCTGGAATGTTTCACAAAATGATCAGACCGTTCACAGCTGTGCATCTTTGCTATCATGCTATCTCTGTCAGTTAACTTGATGGGTTAGGCACCTCAAAAAATAAAATGCACCCACAAAATAAAATGCTGGGGTCTGACCCATGTTATTTTCATTTTATTTATTGTTTCTTTTATTTTAAAAGGGGCTCCTGCCCCCTCATTCTATTTAGGTACCCCGATGGGGGGTTAATATACATATAAATATGTATATCTATAGCTATGTCTATATCTATGAATTTTACTTATATAATTGTACATATACGATAAATAATATGTGTCTTTAGGATGAACACCCAGGATTTCTTGACATAGATATGGAACACAATGATGGTGTTCGTACAACATGACCAAAAAATAAATGGTGGATGTGTGATATCCATGTTCAAATTTTGATATGCTTGAGGGTAAAACTGATTGGTGAAACCCACATTTGGTATGGTGCGATATCTCCGTGTATTGGTAGGTAAACTCCCACACAATTTGATTGTTTTGACCCATCTCAAATAGATGTAAATGTTTCTTGGGGTCATCATCCCATGTTTAGGGACGAATTTTTGACAAACAGGAATGGCACCACTAACCAGCCCAGTTTTGCTGATGAAAACCCGATTCTTGCTTCGCAAATCCTGGGGTTTGTCGGTTAAATCATCTTACCATCCCATTTTCAAATTTCTTCTGCCAGCCTACAGGTTGATTTACTGGCGAGACTATCTAAAATCCCAGTTTTTGGGAGGTCTATTCCGCCCATTACATGGCAGCCAATATTTATATATATATACATATATATATATATATACATACATGCGCATATATATATATATACACATCATTACATATCTATTTACCCTGCAAAAATAAGAGGCTGATTCGTACATATACCATATCTATCTATCTATATCATATATATATATATATATGATGTGTTCATTTAATCATGGCAAAACGATGAAAAGTTGGATTAAAAACTTGCTATACCTATCCAATCGGGTTCCTCCTTTCCTCTGATCACTCAGCTGCCTGGCACTCATTTGGCAGAGAACTGGGTTCTGGCAGCCCAGCTATCTGCTGCTGTGTGACCATCGCTGTCAACGCGCCCGAGTCCGCGCCGCAGGTGGCGTGCGCTGCAACGCTTGGGCCAGCAGTTTTTGGAGAGTTGAGCCTGAGGAGGTACAGTATGGCTTTTATACTATTGTGATGCACACATTTATGAATAATATGATATATATATATATATATATAAATGATTATATATATTTATATATATATATATGCATAATTATGCATATACTAATGATTAATCATAATGTGTGTGTAAGAACAAAGCGAAATTATGAATGGCAAGCCTGGCAAAACTATGCAATACCATATGTCACATCAAACTGATATTTGAAATAAGTTCAATCAAAAACACAAACTGAATGTTGCTGACACCCAATGTTTGTGTTCACTTGCGTGTCTTGGGCATTGAGGGTCTACGCATACTACTAAGCACATTGTACAGACCATGTCATATATGGCCTATCGACCTATTTGCAGTTTGATTGCCTGGGGTTGTGCCCCTCATAACCCAAATAATGTTGGCCTACATCCAAGCCATCTTGTGGATGCTTCCAACAGGGATACGCAAATTAAACCAGTTTTGAAGTACAAAACAGAATCGATATGTTTCCTTCTACACCTTCCTGTCTAGTTGGAATCTACTAAGCAGTAGAATTCTGGTGAATTGTCAAATTGACCTTGGTTCTGTTGGGTTCTGTACCCTGATTCTCACTCTTGCCCTAGTCTTGTGCCCGGGTCCCTTCGCCCCTTGCCTTCAGTGTTCCATCTGCAATTCTTAGGTCAGTTCTGCTTGTTGCCCCTAATGTGTGCCTCGCAGGTCTTCCCAAAACATGTTTCATGGATAGCGGTCTCCTTTTACGAATACACGCATCTCTGAATGTATGTATTTTTTAATATGTGGTCAAACAAATGCATGTGTCTCGTATTGTCATTTGTTGCAGAATGGTCTGCATCAGGTGCCCGTCCATCGGCGATGCCATCGGCTATCAGTGGAGCTCTTGATTCACTTGATGTCACCACATGCATGTTACATGACCGTCACATGAGCTGTAGCACAGGATGCCAACTCATCGTAGCTAGCCTTAGATGCCCCTCCCAAAAGCATAAGTTTCAGTGATTTGTTTCAGCATGTTTTTCTGGATCAATAACAATGGATCAACGCCACGCCAAGCAAAAAACAAGGACTTTCCTGTACTCTGAGCCATGGCATCGAGCTGACGTGCCGCTTTGAGCGCCAAATGTGAACAACTCACAGCTGGGCCATGTTGGAACAACTCACCAAACTGCCGTGCTGGTTCAAAAAATGAAAATCATTTATCATGAATCCTCGGCCTGATGTTTGAGGTAGTGTTTGGTGTTTTCGTCAAGATCAACCTTCGTTTATGCGGTTTGGTCCAGTTTGGTCGAGGTCAAGGTAAATAAAATGCCCAAGAAGTATGAGTCTGCTTTGATGATATGGGTGCATTGAATGTTGTCGTTCTTTGAAGTAACTCAGTACCTTGCCATGCATTCCATGCCGGTACCTCGCATTATCAATAAGGTAAAGGATTGACAATGATGGAAATGAATGGAAATGATGTATTTGACATCATTTGACCAGTCGGAATGTTGCCATCACACAGCATCGCAGAACCAAGCAAACATGGGCAAGCAATGATCAATAATGATCACAAGTTCTGTTCCATGAATCAACCAGTATTTGAATTTGTCAGTTCCTGGGAACAATTGGCATTTGGTCCTCCAAATTGGATATGTTACAGTTAATACCAAAAGTTTCAGAAACAGCGGGTCCGCAGAGTGGTGTTGTTGCTGTTGCTGTTGCTGGTGCTGGTGCTGGTGCTGGTGCTGGTGCTGCTGCTGGTGCTGCTGCTGGTGCTGGTGCTGTTGCTGTTGCTGTTGCTGGTGCTGCTGCTGGTGCTGTTGCTGTTGCTGTTGTTGTTGCTGTCGTTGTTGCTGTTGCTGTTGCTGTCGCTGTCGCTGTTGTTGCTGTTGCTGTTGCTGTTGCTGTCGTTGTCGTTGTTGCTGTTGCTGTCGCTGTCGCTGTTGCTGTCGCTGTCGCTGTCGCTGTTGCTGTTGCTGTTGTTGTTGTTGTTGTTGTTGCTGTCGCTGTCGCTGTCGCTGTTGCTGTTGCTGTTGCTGTTGTTGTTGCTGTTGCTGTTGCTGTTGTTGTTGTTGCTGTTGCTGTTGCTGTTGCTGTTGTTGTTGTTGCTGTTGCTGTTGTTGTTGTTGTTGCTGTTGCTGTTGCTGTTGCTGTTGCTGTGGGTGTTGGTGTTGGTGTTGCTGTTGCTGTTGCTGTTGTTGTTGCTGTTGTCGTCGCTGTCTTTGTGCATTTTCCTCCAGCGACCATTTTTCAGCGCCGTCGCCGCGGCCTGAGGATGGACTCTGATGGGCCCCCGTTGTGCCGTTTTGGATGGGAAAATGATGAGAAAGTATCAACATTTGGGGTACCCGATTTTCAGACAAAGCCATTAAGGATATTTTTGAGGTATGACTGAGGAACATCTTGCAGAAAACCGTTGTACCTCCAAATATATCCAAGTATCGTAGATTGAGGAGGTTCCTGTACATGTTCCCTTCATAAATTTTCTGGGAATTGGTGGTTTCAGGTAGTTTCAACCACCCAAAAAAAACTAGTCAAATGGTATCATCTTAAATAGGCAGGATTTTATCGAAAGCGAATCTGAAACCAAAAATACCCAACAATGTACGGGTCAAGCCATTGGATTTTGCAATGCACAGAAGCTCTCCACTTTTGGAGTTGGATCTTCACTTTGACCCCGTGTCACACGGGGATTCCCCGTTGGATTTCGTCCGAACAGGGACCGTCCCACATGGATTGGAAGACATTCTAGCTGATTCAGGATGACAATCATAAGCCCGTATGGCATACTATGGGAATTCCCGGAGCCCAGCACCATTTGGAAAACAATGGGTCTTCCAGTCTTGCATGGTTTTCCGCTCTCTGAGCAGCCGTGAGACTTCCTGTGTTTAGGGACATGTTCGTAGACAATCCAAGATGACTGGTGACAAACAGCAAGGAGTTTTGGTCACTCCTCAGTGATCAAGATACATCTGACATCCTGTTCCAGGAATAGACTACATCGGGACTGTCATATCAATAGTGTTTGAGCCTCATATTTGGACCCCCAACCAAATCAGTTCAGTGCCTTTGTTCCCCTTTGCCAGATGACATTGTGTGCAGCAGTATCATCTCAAGCATCAGAAGCTATCAGCTATCCGGCCATCAACTCTTCCCTGCAGCATCCTGCAGCTTCCCACGTCACTGTCACGTCGTTTCGCCCCGACCCCGGACAGCTGCGCCTATTTTCAAACTTCAAGGCATCCTCACTACTCCATCCCTGAACCATCCAGGAGAGCTTGTGAGCCTGGCTCGCCACGGCTGGTTCAGTTGAGATCACACAGGTCGATGGGTGGTAGATTTCGGTACCTCATGCTAATAGAATGCTATAAGTATATTGTGTATATATATATATATATTTATGTTGTATATAAATATATATAGGAACATAGTACATATGATCATCCAATAATCCAATAGCCCCCAATTATAATATAATATAACATACCAATTCAGGTACCTATTGTTCCATGGGATGGAATTGAGTATAGAAAACAATCACCTGCCATCGCTGCCTGACTGGCTGCCGAGTTTGGTGCTGCTAACTGTGCCTTTGCCAACGCGCTCTTCGCGCGGCAAGCCTCAGAAAGAAGGGACCGACATGGTGAGAACCTTCCACCGTGGGCGGCCAGCATCCAATATCTGGGTATGTATCAAAATGGACTCTCTCCCCGCAACAAAAAAAGAAACAAACATGGATCTCCGATGATTTCTGGATGTAGTTCGCATCCAGTGCCGTGGTGCGCCCCAACCGAAGCTCATAGGATCGGCGGGACACATCACTGTCTCAATTGAGCGCATGCACCCAGTCAAACGGCAAAATGTCACAGAAAGCCACAAATTTGGCCGTTGAAATGTCCCACTTCCAACCAAATGAAAAACTTGATCATCATCACGGTCTCCATCCTTCTAGATGAATCATACTTCAAATTTACAAGCTGGGGTCATTTTGGGCTAGTCACCATTCTTCTCATCCTTTTCAGAACTTCTAGTGGCGTTGTGGTCTCGGAAAAAAGAAGAAACACATCTCCCGAATTCCATGAAATTCGCCTAAAAATGTCAAAGATCCCCATGTTAATCTCACAGAAACTCCACAATTCCCATGGCACGGCTGGACTTCGCGTCGCCTTTTCTCAGCGTCAGCTGCTCCTGGCGCCCTTCGTCCCAGGCCTCGAAGCAGCTCCGTCGCGTCCAGGCGCGATTAAAGAACTTCCAGGGCTCGTGCGCCAGCGACGGATGCATCACACGCACCACCAGGACCCAACGGTCCTACCCGGCCGGAAAACCATAGGAAAATGGATGGAAAATGATGGAAAACCAGCAATTCCATGGGGATTTCTATGGGATTTAAAGCTGATTTATGGGATAGCGAAGTTGGGAAACATGGGAAACCAGGTTGGGGGCCACATAACTCCTATAACTAATTAACTATGGTTTATGATACAAACATAAGTATTCCTATTCACGTTTACCTGTGTAAGGACCTGGAAATATGCTGCGAATGGATGCCGGCTCGTCCAACAATGGTGGATTTACCATCAATTTATGGACATGTAAAAACTTCCCTATGGATCCAAGTACCTTCTTAGGAAGTGTTTGGGGTATGATTTGGAGGGTTAAGTACCTTCTCAGACAGTGTTTGGATCCATAGGGTTAATGGGGAATATTAGGCTTGCAACATTGTTCAACCATGGGACGGAATGGGGTAGTTTTTCTTCTGTGCCACATCCGACAGTAAAACCTGGCTGCACAACCATTTCCTTCTCAGCTGATTCCCGCAATCTTCTCCTCGCCGTCTACTTTTGCATACCAACAAGCCAAATGTTCTTGGTTGACCCTCCATGTTCTCGGTATCAAATAATGCAAAATGTGGGTTTGTCTGGAAATTAGGTACCCCATTCCATCCACTGATCAGTCATCATTTTCCCTGCGAAATTAGCCATTTGAGGGTGTACCCCAATTTAAATCACAACAAAATATCAGATCGTTAGTCATATTTGTACGTAATGTAATGTAATTATTTCATAAAGTAGTGTAATGCACTGTAAATGAAATGAAATGATCTGAACTGAACTGAAATGTAATAAAAATGAAATGTATAAGGAGCAAACAATGTAATGACATGTAATGAAATTGAATGTAATGTAATGACATGTGATGTAAGAAATGACATATAGTAATAACAAAAAACAATGTAATGAAATGTAATAAAACACATGTAATGTAATGACATGTAATGTATGTATCCTTCTATCTGTGTATATATATATATATTATCGCTATGCTTCTTCCAACAAATCCTCATGTGGTTGGTGGTTTCAACCCCTCTGAAAAATATGAAAGTCAAATGGGATTATTGTTCCCAATACATGGAAAGTCATAAAATTCATGTTCCAAACCACCAACCAGTCATTATATCACCAAAATGCGGGGAGTTCCATAAATGGGGGTACCCCTACATCATCAATTTTCATAGGCTTTTCCCTTCTAAACTATCCAGCTATTGGGGTACCATCACTTGTGGAAACCTTCACCCACAGGATCCATGGTGCTGGTATATATGCTAACATGACTGGGGTATATTGATGGGATCCATGGCATACCATATATAGCAGCACCATGGATCCTATGGGTCATGTGGCACCCCATGATATCCCGCTGGCACCGGGCACCTCCGCTCCATCATGCCACACGCGATGATCCGATCCATCGTCAAAGGCGACCACCGTTCCGTCCCGGAAGGGACGGACCTGTCGGGACGGACAGGGCTCCACGGCGCCCCGAGGAAACCGGGAGCCCTGGGGAAGTCAGGTGGACATCCAAAATGACCCATTTATGATTTTGGATTCGATCTTTTGTATATTTATAGATATTTTAATATAGCATTTTTATGAGTATGTAGAGCTAGTATGAAAATCGTGGGATGATAAACATACTTGCAAAGACGGCCACCCCCAGATAGTTAAGTTGGTTTGGAACTCAAATAACAATATATGTATATATATATATATACATGGTTCATGGATGCTTGTGGATGATGTAACTCTGGTTAATGGGGTTTGACCAGATCATGGTGAACCTGAGGTACCTCATTGACGAACAAAAAGCAGAATATGTCTGCTCCATTGTGGCTAAAACCAAACGATTCATGTGCCATAATGTGCCAACAAAAACATGTAATTCTAGATCAAGCATGATTAAAACTCTTTGTAGATTAAGCCAAAAACATATGAACGGTTTGGCGATTGAGGTGCCATTCCTGGATTCAAACATACGTTCACCTGGGCAGTGCTGATACAACCCTCTGCAGCACGCAGTTTCCTGAGTTTGTGGACATATTCCAAGTGTTTTGGGTTTAAACAATACTGTAAATCTGGAGAATGCGGTGCAAGTCCCAACCTTTCTGTTCATTCGATTGATGCTGCTAATAAGCCATATAAATCAATCATCATCACTCAAATAAATGTTGCTAAAGTATATGATTTATGTGTATAATACATACATATATATATATATATGTGCGACGGTCAAAACTCAATTCATGTGGTGAGGTCATGGCATCGCTTCATAAGGCCCCCTATCGCTACACACAGTCCCAGCACCCTTTTCACCAACTAGGCAGAATTGCTGCTAGAAGAGGAGGATCCAGATGAGGAATCGGATTCTTATTCCCCTTGCGATGGTATCTCCAGGGAAATTCAAACTTTTATGTGATCACCAAGGCTGACGTCGACAGCTTCAGCTAGACACCAGCCGGACTCACTGCAGGTCATCTGACCTCGGAGGCCGCCCTTGGCTTGTGTTGGCTTGTCTTGCCTGTGCTGCCTTGTTTCCGGCGCCTTTTTTGCTTCACCCCGCCTCCTTTGCAACCTAATACCACGCCAAAATGAATCGGCAAAACCCTGACCAAATGAACCCTTTAAGAATTAACCCAGTAAGACTTGAGGGTACCCTTGTTCATACTTCCCATATTTTTCCACCTATAGCACAAGTTGTATAGTTTCAAGTGACGATGTGGGGTACTCCCTAATTTGATGGATTTCAGGTATCGCTCTGGGTATCGAGGGGTATCGCTTCGGGCATCGCTACGGGGACCAGAAATTGTGTGATCTCAGGTGTATGTTTCAAGTGACACGAAATTCTGACAAGCTCCATGTTGCAATTCTACTCCTGGACAGTGGCTTTGGAGAAGCGTCCGTGACCGCACAAGGATGCTTTTTCAACATATCTCAGCACGGTCACTATCTGAATCAACATCATCACCATCACCATCATCATCAGCATCATCACCATCATCAAGCTCATGATGCGTTATGAATTAGTTTCTTGCATACCTTATAGATCAACATACCCCAATATATCAATATTGTTTAATGTAACTATCTCATATATACTTGACGACAGGCCATCTTGCAACTACCCAGGAAGACCAGCCCACTGCGACTGCTCCAGTGTCGCACTCTGACATCAAAAGATTGGAAAGTCATGCGCCCAACAGGAAGCTTCAATCATAAACAAAGTCTAAAAAGAGGTATCGCTACATAAGGCCCCCTATCGCTACACACAGTAAATCACATATTTTGAGTAGTGATGGCGGATCGTAATTGAAGCCTTTCATAGCGTCTTTTGACCCTTGCTCATATAGATATAATACATATATACATATTTATCTATAATATCATACAATTATATATAATTATATATATACATATCATAAGTGGTCGATCATGTTTGATGCTTCCCCTACTCTCCCCAACTATTCCTACCACCCCACGGTGCGCACCTTGCCAGCCACCTCAAGGAATGCTCCAGTGCTCCCCGTCAGCCCCAAGGAGAGGTTGATGGGCGCATTGCTGCCACCGTTGTGCAAGCGCACCTTGCTCCCGGGCGTCAGAAGGAAGAGAACCACCTCCTGAGAGCAGAGATTTGAATCTGTGTCATGGTCCAGTGAGTCATGAATTTGTGCCATAATGAAAGGGTGCCAGATTGGTGCATGATGCGATGCTATAGCATGCAAGTTACAACATAAAGAAATAACATAATCAATCACTCTGCTTCCGATATGGCAAGCCTCTTGGGCCCTTACCATGCACAATGCAAGAATGCGGGAAAACAATGGACTGGATCTTCGATAGTAAATGCTGGTATCTTAAAATGGCCATTGGACATGTGTTATCTACGAGGAGATGCACGTTTACCGAAGCATGCTATTGGCTTGTCCTATACACATACCCCAAAATTGCCATTGAACAGTACAGTGGTTAAAATCTTGGCAATTCTTTGGAATTGCGGATATCCAATTTTCAGACATACCCTACATTAGAACTGGCAAAAAAAAAATCAAAGCCTACAAACACAGCTTGCAGTCCTCCGTATTGTAGTGGATGTATGGCACATCTGCCGTCGGCAGATACTTCTGCAGCAGTTGCGTGGTCCGTGGCATCAAGTCGCACGCATCCGGGTTCCACCTGCGAGAGCCTCAGGCGAAGGGTCAGAAGGCACCAATCAGATCGCGCTTAACACCCCGAAATGAAGATTTCAATAGGTTCGATATGGTTCGATCATGATTAAGATTGATGGACCGGAGGTCCACTGGGTACCCAGGTACCCAACCGTGAGACAAACCCGTGTGTGGATAAATACGTGCGTACCAAATTCATCCAAACTCACTCTTGCAGTATCTTGGTTGGCTAAAAGAAAGAAAGCACCTCCATCGGCAAAATAGGTCATGTGCATTCCAAGTCTATGTTATATCCTGCTTGCAAATGAGGATGACCTCCTACATTGGGTATGTGATATAAATAGAAACTATTTGGCCTGTAGCCTGCATAGCGCCATATCGTGAAAAATGAGGGATTCAATGCCACCTCCAACTCCAGGGCCACCGACTCTGGAAAGGTCCCTGCTAGGGAAAACATCATCAAATGCCAAGGGATGCCAAGGGGCTGTAGAGCTGCAGCATATCCCAAACGCCTTGAGATGTTTCCACCAAATTCCTGAGGCCGTCCGGATCTGGGAACCTGCTGGGGCTCAGAGGGACCTTAACTTGGGACTACGTGATGTAGAAACCACTGGGGACCAAGAAAAAACTGACATCTCGCTATCCGGTTTGTCGCAATGAGTTTGATTGGAACAAGAACACATTCAACATCCGGGAAAAAAACATGAATGAATAGTCATGAAATCCACGATCACTAGGCTATATCAGATGGTATCTGGAAAAATATCTCACATCATTTCATTCTTGGCGGCTCATGCCCATCAATTAGAAGTACTATATAGGCCAAGATTGATGATGCAGGCACACTACTTGATTGTATCTTAGAATCTTATCTAATAAATCATTAATGATACAATTGTATATAGAATCAGCAATCACTGTGATTTTCCCCCGTCTTCAGGGACCCAGCCAGCTGCTTGTCTCCACTGATGCTCTTAATATCTGCCGTTCTTGGAGCAACAAAAAGACATCGTCGGAACGGCCAGCAACCACCTGAAAATACAGCTGGGCTGGATGCAGAAATATAATAGCGCACATGACAGATACACGTAATTACACATACAACTATGTATATCTATATCTACATATATAGTAAGTAGATAGATGGATAGATAGATAGATAGATAGATGGATGGATGGATGGATGGATAGATAGATGGGTAGATAGACAGATAGGTAGATAGATAGATAGATAGATGGATGGATGGATAGATAGATAGATAGATGGGTAGATACGTAGATAGATAGGAAAGATAGAAATATACATAGACAGACAGACAGACAGACAGACAGACAGACAGATAGATAGATAGATAGATGGATACGTAGATAGATAGGAAAGATAGAAAGATACATAGATAGATAGATAGGTAGATAGATTAGATTAGGTTAGATTAGATTGGATTAGTTTAATTAGATAGATAGATAGATGGATGGATGGATAGATAAATAGATGGATAGATAGATAGATAGATAGGTAGATAGATAGATAGATCGATGGATGGATGGATAGATAGATGGATAGATAGATAGATAGATAGATAGGTAGATAGATAGATCGATGGATAGATGGATAGATAGATAGATAGATAGATAGATTAGATTAGGTTAGATTAGATTGGATTAGTTTAATTAGATAGATCGATAGATAGATAGATAGATAGATGGATGGATGGATAGATAGATAGATGGGTAGATAGATAGATAGGTAGATAGACAGATAGATCGATGGATGGATAGATGGATAGATAGATAGATAGATAGGTAAATAGATAGATAGATCGATGGATGGATAGATAGATAGATAAATAGATAGATCGATGGATGGATGGAAATATAGATGGATAGATAGATAGATAGATAGATAGATAGATAGCTAGATAGATAGATAGATCGATGGATGGATGGATGGATGGATAGATAGATAGATAGATGGATAGATAAATAGATAGATAGATAGACATAATTGTATATACATGCATGTTTATATATGTCATCTATAGAACTTGTGCAACAACTACCAACACAGGACATGGTGATATTCCCAGGACTTCGTTCGGATCAGCTACGGATAGGCTGGGACCTGTGATCCCCAGCTGCTCTGCATCTCCAACAAATCCGTCCTGTGGCCAATGTGGACATGTCGAAATGTGTCTATCTATACTATGTCTGAATTATATATATATATGTTGTTGAGTAGCAACATTGTCCAACACACATTGATTCAACAGAGCTGCCTGAATCTTTTCATATGTACCAGAAACAGTATGTGTATTGTGTAGATATAATATACACATGTACAGAGTGCAAACATGTACAATGTAACATATAAGGTTGTATCAAATCATATATGAACATAATAGATGTATGTCTGCTTGAATGTATGTATGTCTGGCTGGCTGTTTGCCTGTAATGTAATGCACTTCAGTGTAGTGTAGTGTATTTATATACTCTGTCTGTGTTCTGTATATGTATGTATATATATGTATACATACATTATATATATACACAATATATATACACTATATATATACACATTATATATATACACAATATATATATACACAATATATATATACACATACATGTATGTGCATACATATGTAAAATTATATATGTGCATGTTTACATGTATACATGTATGTCCATAAATTATTATATGTAAATATATTATGCATTATATATAATACAGCGATATATATATATACATAGAGATATACAGTATATACATATTTCTACATGTACGTACATTGTATAATATAAGGCTGTATCAAATCATATGTGCACATAACAAATGTATGTGTGCAGGTATGTCTGTCTGTCTGTCTGGCTGCCTGCCTGTAATCCATGTAATGTAATGTAATGCATAAACTGTACCATTCTACATTTGCATAGATATATACCGCTAGAATTTTGTATCTTTCAATCTATCTATATCTGTCATCTAATATAAATATATATATATATAATGTATATATATATATTTATTATGTATATATATATATATTTATTATGTATATATATATATTTATTATGTATATATATATATATATATCTATCTATATATATCAGAATACAACTGGAGGGTCAACAGCCATGAGGTAGAATGGACAGGTTACCATAGATAAGGCTGGTGGGTTTCCTGCTTCAGATAAAGACCAGCTCCTTATACCAGCCTGGATATTGATGGTGCTAAACCTAGTTCCTGAGAATTTGATGTTCCCCCAGAGTCAAAATCAGAGTATCCGAGTGCCATTGTTTGACCAGTGAGGAAAATGACGCCTCAAGTTCCCACGTACCTTTGTTAAAATGCTCTCTCCCCCGGGGAAGTCGTTTGATCCCATAACCCAGCACCTTTCACGGCCCCAAACAGTCTGTCGGCGCCCCACCTCACATCTTCATAGTTCTCCTCGAGCACTTTGGCTAACTCTGGAGGTTCGTCCCAAAAAACTCGGTGCTCCAAACCGTCGATGTGGACTGCAGGAGTTTGCTCCAAGCAGTGCCTGCCATACTCCATGTTTCAATGGATTTGAAGGGAAAATCGACACCAGAAACCATAGTTTTTACCCAGGTGTCCTGTGAATGTTCCCTCCAACCAATTCTGATACATGATTTTCTACATTTACATACTTCTGGTTTTGTGGGAATAACTCTGCCATACTCTGGGTATATCCCAAACATGGATGATCTGGGTACAGCCAGCAAGTTCTACCATGGGATACCTGCTTGGCCTGCTTGGATTTGATCAGCTCTGCACTGGCACAACAATGTGAAATATGATCAAATGCAAGGAGCCACCAGCTTACCTTCTGGTAAACTATCACAAAGCGAGGGGATTTGGTGGTAGCCTATTCTCAGGTAAAGCGATATATATATATATATATATACACACACATTTTTAAAAAATATACAGTCTTTCGGGGACATTTGACATCATTTACCATAAGCCACAACCAAAAAAACATCATACTGGTTGACTAAGAGGTACATTATTCCCACACTGAGCCACACACACACACACACACATTCCAGTTGAAAAAACACAACCAATCCGCACTTATGAAATGTATCCCGAATATTCTTAGTGATCTAAACCATTCTTGGCGGTTATCACCATTAACAAAAAAATAGTTACATAATCTATTTCTATGGCTCATTCTCCATATGTTAAAATTTTAATTTGTTCACATCCCTCGTCTAGTCGTGCCATGCGCCAGGCCACCAAGTGATGGCCCGTTGGCCCCGCCATTGCAAAGCGATCGCCTCCTGGCTCACCATTTCAGGGGTTAGCCGTTGAAAAATGGCTGGATCCATGGGGTGAGGTATAAAATGAATTAAAATGATTGGTTGGGGTGTTTTGTTAAAACCTGTTTCAACAAAGATTAATAGTCCTCCAAATACCATCTGAGGAGATAAGCCCCCCAATCCTCGATATGTTCGCAGAAGGTGTTTTGAGACCTAGGGGAAGTCATTCCTAAAGTGAAATAGATTAGTCATGACGGAGGTATAAGACCACCACATTTATCCACAAGTGGGATAGTGAAAATTCGTTTTGGTTGGTAGTTTCAATCTACACAACATGGGTCTAAACGGGTAAGATCAGATTTGAATACATATATATATATATACATGTTCAATCATATTCAACAATACTTGCGGAAGTTTCAATGTTTCAACACTTTTGATGTTTGGTTGGTAGGCAGGAACCATCCACCCACCAAGCTGAGCCAATCCCATCGTATCATCGACACGTCCCGTGAAATTTGGCTCTTGGATGGGCGATGTTCTTTGACGTGGCATGCATTTCTTGCACAAAACATCGACCAGTAAAACAAATCACACATGTTTACTGTACTGGTTTACTGCCCACTGTGTAGATTAGTTTGCCCCAAGATAATCAACATGTACCATCCAAATCCAAAACTGGTAAGTGTTTGAGAGCACACGCTGACAGGCTGCATGTTTGCAAAGCTAATAAGCATCCACCTGAACATTGCCGCAGGTCACGCAAGAACTCGCATCAATGATTGAAGCACTGTCGCCCATGGGATACCAAGATATACCAAGTCATGATCAATCATGATCAGGTTTCAAATGGGGACCCAGCTGTCAAGGGTCAAGGGTCAACTTGGGTATGGGTGAATATTCAATGAGCTACAGAATGGTAAGCCATGAGATGCCATGAGCCACAGAACCCACAGAACTGGTCCGATCCCCAACCTGGAACATCTCTTGCGCAGCTTCTTGCTCCCCACAGGCTTTCAGGATCGCCAAGGCATTGGCAAAATGATAAGCTGTGGCGCGTTCCTCGAACTCGCTGCGGCTTCCAAATTCATCCTGAGCTCAACTTGGAGGACTTGGAGGCTTTCACAACAGGGGAACCGCAACATGGTGATAAAATGTGATAAACCACCATTTTCATCCATTTTCATCCATTTTCCACACGAATTGCCAGAACTTGGGGCATCCCTCATTTTGAGAAACTTCAGTACCAGGCACCATCTTCCACTTTGAAATTGCGGGAATCCCTGTATGGCTTGAGACAAAAGCCATATGCGGATGATAAAAACCAGCTTCTTTGCGCAAGAATCGGGTCCATAGTGGCTACAGGTCAATATTGGGGTACTTAAAAATCGGCTTGTTTCATACTAACCCGAAAGTTTAGCATGGTGTCCAATCGTACCCGATTGTGTAACCGATTCTTGATAATGTTTCATCTATGTTTCACCACGTCCCAAGTATCTGCTGTGTAGATCCATAGATCCAACGCCTCCCACGGGAAAAGTCCGTTGCGCAACGCACCAAGTGACCATGCACTCCTGGTGCAGCGCAATCTTTCGCATGAAGCGCGACGACAGCAGTGGCAGGCGGTAGAACAGCTTTGGCCCCACCGCAGATGTCAAGACATGGTGAAGATATTGCGGATCCTGGCGAACAGGAACTTAGTGGATGGTGAATCTTGGTGGTTTCAACCGTGAAAATATGCTGGGGATCATGGTCTCTGCTGGAAAGTCGCAGAACCACCTGGGATGCCAAGCCTCACTTCATCTTCCAGCCTAACCTACTGCCCCAGCCTTGCAGGAAGATTGCCATTTTGAAATCCAAGACCAGTAGTCTTCTGTCTGCTGCTTCACTCACTCATGCACCAAAAAATGCGAAGCTCAGGAAGGATACATATATATATATATATAATTATCTCGTTCTTACTTAAAGACAGGACATATATAGATACAAACTATCATGTGGTTGGGAAAACCAATTCGTAGCTCCTTGGCTCCCTCTGCAAAAAAAACATAGAATATATATATATGTATATACAATTTTAATATGAATATATGATAATGTATAACATATGTATATATATGTATAACACATGTATATATATGTATAACATATGTATATATATATATGTATAGTTATATATATACATTGCATATATATATATACAAATATGATCATCTATGGATAGCCGTAGTTCTCAAACCGCTCCGTCACCCATCTTCCCTTCACCTCACCCCACAGATATCGTCGTCCTCGGACTTGCGAAGGACCTCTTCCAGGTGCTGCTGCGCCTGGGAAAATCCCCAAGTCACCAAGTCACAATACGAAGTCATGGTGTGAATTTACCCTCTGGTAATTTAACATAGCTATTGAAAATGACCATTTATAGTGGATTTTCCCATTGAAAATGGTGATTTTCCATAGTTATGTTAGTTTACCAGAGGGTAGGAACATTTTTGGGGGTGAAAACCACCAAAATCAGGAAACCCAACCATCTATGGATAATTAACACCATATACTCCCAACCATCAAAATCAGGATTACCTCCATCAGGAAACCTCCATAATTATATGATGTTGTTTTCTTTTGGTGGTTCTATCTCCAACTTAACACCACAAAAACTCCCAAGACAGGATACCCAAACATCTTCTTACCATAAAGGAACCATCTGGCTCCCCATTGAGCATGGATTTTAAAAAAGACCTCCAAACAGTAGTTCCCCCAATATGTATGGCCAAATACGGAAAAAAAACAACTGCCATATATAGACTAAGACAAATTTCAAAAACACCATCAAACAACCTCAGAAATTATCATAGCCTGCCAGTTAAATTATGGTGAATGGTGAATCTTAGATAAAATAGCAACATATTGGCAGTACTAAACTACACATCCAATCCTTGTCCCCACTTATATCCCAGGATTTAACTCAGTTCACTTCCTACTTTTGCCGGTTAAATCTCCAAAAGTCCCTGGTCGGGTTCCCCCTCAGAAATTTCATTCCTATGTTATAGATTCCCATTACATCCCTACATCCTACTATATCGCAATTTTACATTGTACCCCTACTATATCCTCATGTTGGTTGGTTAAACCCTGTATTTTGTTAGTTTCACCCTATATTTCATGCTTAACTCCCCATAATTTGTTGGTGAAACCGTTAATTCTTGTTGGTGACATGCCCATAAGGTGGTGCCTCCTCCATCATTAACTACAGAATACCATAGAAATATCATCAATAAAATAAACGCTATACTTAGTTATTGAATGTTATTGGATGTGATTTGCCCCATGTATTCCACTTTTGGTCATAGCAACCATATCCAACCATCACTTCCTTACACTTTCATATTTGAACCCCTACCCACTATATATCTATAGATATTCTCAGTTGTTTTTGTTACTATCCTCATTATTGTTCCATTTATATATGTTATTCCCATGATATTCCCAGAATATATAATGAATTCTGATGTTCCATCTATATACAGTATATGATATTCCATGCTACTATCCTCCACGTATCTCCATGTGATGTTTCTCCGGAAACTGCCTGCTGCAGCTCCTCCGACTCCGACCGCTCCGCGGACCGCTCCGCGCGCCGGCAGTGCAGCGCCGCCGCCGCCGCGCGCAGCCGGAGGTCCTCAGGGAAGCGCCGCAGGCGCCGCGCCAGGAGCGCCAGGCGCAGGTCATCGCGCAGGCCACGGGCGAAACGCAGCATAGAGATGATCTGATTTCAAGAAAATCATAACATATATGTGGTTATGATGTACTTTATAAATATAGTTATTGTTGATGTTTTTTGATAGGTGTCAAAGAAAAAAATTAGTTTTCTCACTAGTGTTTTCAAAGAAAATAATGTTTACAAAGACGAGGCAAGTGTGGCATTCATATCCATTTATTCTATGAATCCTCTCCAGGAATGCATGAAGAGCTCGAAGGGACAAAGCTGCTTGAGCTGTAAACATTGTGTTGAACAACAACATGTTTTGCCGAGGAATCGTGATGTGAAATTGTCGTGAAAACCGCTGGCAGTGTGGAAAACTTGAAGTAGGCTGAACCTCACGGTGAAAAAAACTTGACCATGCACCATCAACGAATCATCACCTTCTAATCATCTAATCGCACTTTGACAACCCATCAGGTCATCATAACATGTCTGAAAATAGGGAAACCCCCAAAATCCCATGGGTTTTCTTCCAAAAGTTTCCCTATAGCCATAGCCATAACTGGAGCATAGGGGGAAGCCTCCAGTGCTGCCCAGAAAACGTAGATCTTGGTCGTCAGCTCGTCCATCCGCCGGCGGTCGTCTTCCCTGTGATGATTGTCCGGTTGAAACAACATGGAAATGGCAATCTATCAATGGGAATTTCAGGATCCTAAATTGGAGGTACCTACCATATATAAGGCCTATGTAAGGCCTATGTAAGGGGATATCCACAGCAAAATATGGCCTTATATGGTACAGTACCTCCATTTTAGGATCCTGGAATTCCCATTGAATCGATTTTGGCATTATACTATTGATAATTGGCTATCTATGTTGCCTACAGTATCTATGAATATCTATGATCTATTTTGGGTTATCTATATTGGCAAAGTTTCAACCATGACATTATGGCATCTAGATACAGCTTGACTTTGTTATATTTTGATGAGCGTCTGATCATTTATACAAATGCAAAACAGGAGAGGCTCAAAATGTTGTGGGCTTATTTTTTTATAGTTGAAAAATACCATTCATCAAATTAGTCCTTTGATCTCCTATGCGACGTCGTCCAAAGCCAAGTAATGTTGCAAAGTTCCAGGCCCTTTGAAACAGTAAACAAAGCGGAAAACAAGGAGTGAACACGAAGCAAACTATAAAAGGAACAGGCATATATTGTATTATACAAATTATAGTATGAAACAAAGTCCGGATCAGGCAACTGACCAAGCAGTGCCTGAGAACATCCATCATGTGGTGGAGCTTTCTTTGGCTCGACACACCCTGGTCGCGGAGATGGGAGGAGGTATGGATGGCCCACGACCCAAACGGCAAACAAACGGCGGCGCCTTGGGCAACTTTGGCTCAAAGAAGGATGGTCCCCTGAGAGCCCACCGCAACACCAATAGCACCACAATCGGTCTGACATACAAATCGATTGCGTTGAGTCTGCAAATGTGTCAAAAATACAGATGATTCAAGATCAAAAGCAATGTTTGCGACACTTACAAAGCTGGATATGTATATGTACGCGCAAACACCCCGTTTCGCCCACACCCTCCTTGTCTTCGGAAGATCAACAAAGGTATTAGGGAATATAAAAGTCCCACCCTGGTTAAACTTTAAATTCATTTTACATTCATTCAAGATCTTCAATAAGGGTCTAATTTCCCATCCCCGTTAAACTTCTACATTCATTGAAGATCTTCAATAAGGGTTCAATTCTCCCACCCCTGTTAAACTTGTACATTCATTGAAGATCTTCAATAAGGGTTTAATTCCCCAACCCCCGTTAAACTTCTATATTCATTGAAGGCCATGAATAAGAGTTTGATTCTCCCACCCCCGGTAAACTTCTACATTCATTGAAGATCTTCAATAAGGGTTCAATTCTCCCACCCGCGTTAAACCTCTACATTCATTGAAGATCTTCAATAAGGGTTTACAGTAATTCTCCCACACTCGTTAAACTTCTACATTCATTGAAGGCCTTCAATAAGGGTTTAATTCTCCCACCCCTGTTAAACTTGTACACTCATTGAAGATCTTCAATAAGGGCGGGTTTAATTCTTCCACCACCGTTAAACTTCTACATTCATTGAAGATCTTCAATAAGGGTTTAATTCTCCCACCGGGATTAAACTTATATATTTGTTGACGATCTTCATTGATGATGATGATGATGATGTGGTGGAACGGACCCGCACAGGTCCCTCTGCTGCGCGTTCTGATCTAGAACATCAAGTTAACCATAATGCTAATATATCCCATGTTTACCACGTTTTCAGCTCATACGAAGAAGGCGGGCCAACAGGCGCGGGCAAGGCGAGGTGTTTGGCCGTATATTATATGTACTATACATATCGAACAGTCTCAAACATACCCGCATCATTTGTGACGGCTTTACTCTAGTCTTTTTCAACATACAGAGACACATCAAAACCGATCATTCATCACCAAACACCAAACACGAAACACCACCTGCCCCTAAACAAAAAAACAATTATGTATCCTATGGTAATAGCCATGGAACATGATCAAATCATATTTCATAGGTACGTCATCTGCATTCATGGGATTCAATGAGTCATTTTCCATGACCGCACTAAACTGCCAGAGGGTTTAACCTGGTACTTTCAAAATCCAATCTGAATAATATACACAGTATATATATATATATACGTATTCTTTCCGAATCATAGTTTACCCTCTGGTAATTTCTCAGATCTTTCGAACATCAGCAGTTTTTGGGATAGGTTTTGCTACATCACTGGGCCATTAACTCCCCATCCGCCTGGAGGAACTGGTCTCGGTCAGGTCCTCCCGGAGGAGATTCTGAAAGTCGCTGGCATCCGAAAAGGGCGAGCGCTGCAGCCTGCCGTTGCGGTTTGGGGCACCAGAAAAACTAAGGCCATCGCAAGGGCATTGCAATGACAATGTATCAATTTGAACGCAAAGGCCCAAACAAGCTACCCTCTGGTAATTTAACATAGCTATGGAAAATCACCATTTTTAATGGGAAAATCCACTATAAATGGCAATTTTCAATAGCTATGTTAGTTTACCAGAGGGTATATACTTTGAAGCTTTTGATTCATCAAATGTCGAGCTTAAACATCAAACATAAAGGTCTTGTTGATCATCAACCACATCATTAGCCAACGCCAGAACAAAGAAACGGAAAACACTATGACACACTCATCACAATGGAAAACCCGACACAATATTAATCCATGAGCCAACCATTCACCAACCATTTTACCCCCATGAATCATCCTATGAACCATCCCAAGAAAAGATACAACAGCAAACCCAATCCTCAAAAACTGAAAACAAAACTGCAGTAAACATTTGTAACCTCTACTTGTCCGTAGCTTCTTTTTCTTGGGGTTACCCTCTGGTAATTTAACGTACCAATAGCTATGGCAAATCATTTTAATCATTTACAAATGGGCCATGGCTTCCAGTTCGTTGTGTTTAAATAACCAGAGAATATAATCTCCGTTATGTATTCCACTACATTCCGATGATAATTATATATAACAACCATATATGATGTAGATCGTTTTCCTAAGGAAACCATTGTTTTTCCACATTACAATCTTATGAAATCCCCAGTATATAATTCCCATTGAAGTCCGTTAGATCCCCGTTAACATTGTTAATCCCATTGTTAATCCCATATCCCATCAAAGTCCATTAAATATCCATTGTTAATCCCATTGTTAATCCCATTGTTAATTAATCCCATTGTGAATAGGTAAATCACTATTTAAGATTATGATTATAATTCTTTACACATTGCTAATCCCATTAAATCCATTGTTAATCCCATCGTAAATCCAGTTGTTAATCCCATTGTTACTAAATATTGCTCATAGGTAAACTATATTCATTACCTATTAACATATCTTCATCATTACATAGTTTCATTGATTTACCATTGATCATCATTCAATCACCTGTTTCTCCTTGCACCGCCTGTACTCCAAGGCGGAGCTGTTGACCTCTGCCCGCGGCGTGCGCGGCGCTGACTGCGGGCGCCGTTTGAGGGGCCGCACCTGGCTGCCTGCAGCCGGCTCCGCGCGGCCGGGGGTTGATGATTGGGAACCAGGAAATAGCAACAACTACATGGTACATATATAGTGTGTATGTATACATATATCTATGCAACGTAGATATAAAACATATATTAACATATATTATGAAAAACATTTGTTACATTGTACTACTGTAAAGAGCATAGGATACATAATCTGGACATTGTTCATACAAGCTTTGATGTTTGGTTGGTGCTGATATTGAGGAACATATATCACTGAAAAGGAAACATTGGTTTAGGACCACTGGAATTCACCAATTTGACCAAATCGTGTGATGGATGATGGCTGGTAGGGAAACCTGCTAGCCTAGGGTTCCCAGATCGAAAAAAACAGCTGCCACATGGATGTTTATAGCAAGGAAAATGTATCAAACATGTATCATACTGTGTTGTTTACTCGGACACATCGGACACATGGCAATATTAACAAATGTCTTGAATTTCTCGTGGATGGATGACAAATCTCATCAATAGCATGCATGATGCGTACTTGTTCAGCTGGATTGCCAAGACACTCGGGGCAGTGGCAGAATGTTCTGGCGCTGGTTCACAGCAGTATCGAGCCTGGCAACAAAGATGGCCCAGGGGATGGTCATCATAAGACGCATCACAGGGATCCATCCCACTCGTCGCCTGCCTGGAGGCTTCGTGCTGGTCACAGAACTGCTATGGAATGACCACCCAATCTATCTATCTATCTCTATCTATCTGTCTATCTATCTATCTATCTATCTATCTATGTATCTTACTTTAGTTTACTTTACTTTGCGTTAAATTAACAATTTACTTTGCTTTTCCTTACTTTGAAATTTACTTAGCTTTACTTGCAATTTTACTTCAAGTTACCTATTTATATGTTTTAGTGTACTTTACGATACTTTACTCTAGTTTAGTCTAATCACATCTAATCTACCTATTGAATTTTACCCAAACCAAATCAAAATTCATCCAATCTTTCGCAATGTCTATTTCCTTCACATGATCATGGCAGCATGGCATGCTTCACCGCTTCATCAAGCCATTTCCCAGCCGCGGAACTCGGAGTTCAGGCAGTGTAACTTCAAGGTCCTGGAAACGCCAGACGTTGTACCACAATGAAAATTGCTGCCTTAATAAGAAATAGCTGGTAAATAATAAGGGATAGTACCCTAAAATAGCTGGTTAATGGAGGTTTATTCCCCCAAAATATGGTAATAATAGGTTTTGACCCATAGCCATATATATATAATACACTGGTTGGTGGTATACCTACCCCTCTGAAAAATATGACTTCGTCAGTTGGGATGATGAAATTCCCATATGGACAGTCATAAAAATCCATGGTTCCAAACCACCACCAAGGATTGTACACCATCAAATTTGGAGGTGCCCTATTTTTTTGGACCAACCTTTTGTTGCTACTCATTGATGATCCGTTTGGACCACTGTCAGGTCACTGTCAGGAAAAGTAGGCCCCATGTGACTCGCGTTTCCAACAAACAAAACACCTGTTTTGGCACAAGGATACTATGTGCGTTGGAAACTAGCCTTGGTCTGTTTGGTCTGCTGATATATCTGATATTGTCAATGCTTAAAAATCACCATGAAAACCACTAGTCACTAATCCATTAATCAGTTAATGATAATGAAACTCATGGTGATGAGTTACTAATACTCTGTTGATGATGAGTTACTAATACTCTGTTCATCATCATCATTAGTCACAATTAATCCAACATGTTTAACCATGTTTAATCACCATTAATCAGAATGATTATCCAGTATTAATCCGTAAATCACAAACCATCAATTATCCATAACTATAGAACTTATTATTCGTTAGTCATCAATCAGTCCATCAATTAACCATCAATCACTAACCATTAATCATCACTAAACATAATAGTTGATATATGATTAAAACATTGTTAACAATAATGGTTAATAACGGATGAATGAGGGGACTAACCATTAATCATCACTAACCATCACTACTAATCACAATCCATCAATTAACCAACCATCACTAACCACTAACCATAACTAAGCATAAATGCAAAACAAAATGACGAATCCAGGATAATCCATCAATATTAACCATTCACCACTCACCATCACTACCCTCTGGTAATTTAACATAACCATCGGAAATAACAGTGAGTTTTCCCATTAAAAATGGTGATTATCCCATGGGTTTATCTCTATGCTGTTCCCATCACTGGACCTCCTCTGTCTTCCAGGTCGCCCCGGCGGCACCTTTGTGAGGCGCCAGCATCAGTGAGGTGCCACTGAAGAGTGGTGAATGATGGATTTGTCTCTGGTAAAGATACAACAAACTGATGGGAAAATCACCATTTTTAATGGGAAAACTCACTATTTCTATGGCCATTTTCAATAGCTATGTCAGCTATTACCAGAGGGTATCTGGTTGGTGGTGCAATAACCATCTTGAAAAATATGAGTTCGTCAATGGTTGGTGGATTATCACAAAAAACATATGGTAAATAAAGGCCATGCTCCAAACCACCAATCAGATATGGTGAAATATGATCAGTTCATACTGGTTAATCATGGTTGAGAATGGACAATGAATGATAATGATTAGTAGTGGTTAATCATGGCAATGGTTGATAATGGTTGATTAACGCTCAATGACAATCATGACGAATAATGGTTGATCATGGTTACAGACATACATACTATATAAATTTCCAAAAGGTTGCAACCCCCTGCAAACCAAAATGATGCCGGCTCAATTGAAATCTGATGATGAGTCTTCTTGGAAATGGATTATATGTGAGTCAAACCACCACACTACCAAGCAGCCGATGTTGAGTTTCTTATCAATGGCTTTCCAAACTTGAAGCGTCGCTATTCAGAGACTTGTTGCTGAGCCCAACTTCTCAGAACTAGAAGTGCTGTGGAAGACATGTGTCCCTTTGTTCATGACGTGAATGAAGTCAAAGGAAAAAACCACATGTTTACCTTCTACTTAGAGCAAACAACATATTGGGACTATTCAACAAAGAATTGAGAGCAGTACCAAAAGGCACTGCAACTCGTTGTCGTTGGTCACCTTTGGGAGGGGGTGAAATCCCATGAACTATCACGACCGTATGCGGAAAAAAACACGTAAGCACTGTGAATCACGATCAAATCCCTATGAATCCCACTGTGAGCATCACTGTTAATCACTATTAGTCGCTATTTTCATCACTATCAATTACTATTAATCCCCGCAAATTTGTTATTCAAATCCACCAATCTCTATAAGTTTTGCTCGCTCCAAGTTGTGCCAAGCTGTGCCAAGGTGACGCCTGGCCTTTCGATTCATTGGACTCCGAAGAGGATGCCGCTGGGACGAAGAGAAGATGATCATCGTGGCCAAAGTCGTCTTGGTGCCTGGCATAGTTTTGGAGGTGCTTGGCAATGTCTTGGACTAAATGTATATGTGCATATATGGCATGTACATATATATATATATGTATATATATATGGACATGTATATATATATATATGTAAATATACTTATTTATATAGACATGTACATGTGTAAAGACCAGCAATCAAGAGGAAACAACATATCTTCCAAATCAAATGTCTATATGCATGCAAATCACAAAGAGGGAATTTCCCGGGGGGTTGACATTGGACATTCAACAACTATTCTATCAACGACACGACCCCCTTATGATAAATGCACACAAGGCTGCTTCCTAGCGATAGGTTGCCCACGGTTCATGCAAGTTGGTACTATCAAACTTGGACAAAAGCACTGGTGAACCATCAGCACAACTGGATATGGTTACCCTCTGGTAATGGCTGACATAGCTATTGAACATGGCCATTTATAGTGAGTTTTCCCACTAAAAATGGTGATTTTCCATCGTTTTTTGTATGTTTACCAGAGGGTAACAACCACAAAAGAGCCGCCATCACCTGCCTCAAAATGCAATCCAGTGCGACTTCATCCACCGAACTTTCGCAGAATGGCTGATGACTTCTCACTTGGCAGCCACTGCCACCTGTAACAGGCCGCGCGGTGGAAAGCAACTCTGGGTAGCCTGAGACAAGAAACGACTTGTAAGATCTTGTAACTATTGAACCTTGCTGCGTATAATCAACACCACAAAATCAGATGAAACCAAAGATATTGGAGTTCTTCTAACCAACCAGTGGGGGAATACACAGCATGGCACAGAAAATTTTGTTGGCCCCATCCGTTTCTGGGGGGATGAGATCGTGCACCAGGCACCGTTTCTTGTATCAAGTTTATATAAGCCAATCCAGCCCATCTACGGATGTGTTGTATATATATACATATCATAGTATATAATAACATATTATACTGTATTACATGATATATATATATATATCATCATAATATATTATAGTCTATTTCATTTTATATTAAATTATATTATTTCATATTATATTGTATTGTATGGCGATATATTATATTATATTGTATTGTATTGCAATATATTATTATATATAATATTATATTATATTAAATGTTATATTATATATAAAATAAATATTATATATTGTATATATATTTTTTTTAAAAAAAAGTATTGAATTTATTATATATAACATATTATTATATATTATATATTATATGTTATATATTATATATTATATATTATATATTATATATTATATATTATATATTAATTATTATATATATCAAATATTAAATATTATATATTATATACTATATATTAAATATTAAATATTATATATTATATACTATATAATAAATATTAAATATCATATATTATTTTACATTATAGTATAATACTATATATTATGGTATATTATACTATATTGTATTATAAATATTGTATTATATTCTATTTTCTTTGATCATATTACATATTTTATTATATTATAGTATAGTAAATTTTATTATATATTATATTATATATTATATTATATATTATATTATATATTACATTAAATTATATCATGCATTAAATCATATGATGTCATGTATATCATGTTTTGAAATCATATTATGTCATGTATATCATGCATTAAATCATATTATATCATGTCAATTACATTATTATATCATGTAATATATATATATATTATATTTACACATTCTACAATATGTTTGAAGGAACACATGTGATAAATACATATAAATACAGCTTCCGAGAGCGGTGAGCGCACTTTGAACTCTGAGAACGGCCTTCCACAACGTCGCAGCAGGGATGAAGCACTGAATCTGACTCGGGGAGTCGTACCTTGATACGGAGGTTGAGCTCATTGATAGCCTTTGTAGTAAAAATAATATAATTATGCAATATGGCTTTGTACTGGTTGAATGTTGATTAATCCCATCTACCTGGTAAGGACTTTCTGTTGCAGAACACAAAAAACAAATTTAAACCTGTTTGTCGAAGAAACCCGTGTCAAGTCGTCAAATTTCGACATGGTTTTGTACATTTCCTGACCATGTCAAGGTGTCAAGATTTGTCAAGGAACCGCCGGCTCTGGATGATACCTGCACTGATGAAGCTCTAAACCTGGGCCATGAAAAGCACGGGCCAGCACGGGCTTCCGCAAGTTGCAAGTGCTCTCGCTGAGCTTTTGGATTGAAGGAAATAATATATATTAGAATTCCGAATAGTCAAATCTGGGCTTCGGTCCATTATTCGCAATGTTTTTTCCTCAAACACGGATGGTTTGTCAAAACAAACAATGCTGTTAGAACGTTGATCTATTTGATCTAAAATAATTCCAATTCCATGAATGTGAGATATACGGGATTGGTGTGGTGATGCTTGATTGTCGGAATGCAAGGTTTGACGATGCAGCACAAATCACAATCTTGGTCACAGTAAATTACAAACATATAGCATATAATATATATATATACATATATAGCTTTTTGGATCAGAGGTACCATAGACAAGGTACAATAGACAAGGCACAATAATACGAATAGAAAACAAAGGATAAAGCTTGCCAAATAACTAGGTTCCTAGACATCAACTTACCAATATGTGGTGGTTCTCCCGATTACCTTCCCAGTGTGGCGAACTGGTTTGTTTTTTTTTGGTAATTTGCCAAACAAGAGCCTTGGCAACCACAGTTGGTCAGGTCATCAAACATATTCAAAAAGGTTTGATTGCCACAAGAAAACAACTTGACTTATCATGGCCGTTTCCAGCCACAAGCCTTAAAACAATGATGAATTAAAATGGTTAAACCAATGCGAACACATGTGAAAAAAAAACAAACATATTTTTGAACATGCATTTTGAAAACAATGTGAACAAATGTGATGTTCAAATGTAAAGTGAAACAATGTGAAACACGTGAAACAAAACACCACAAATAACAACTTTATGTGTATATATATATAATCAAGCTTGGATCCACCATGGGAAAATAACAAACCATTCATAAGACAATAAATTGTTTCAACAACCAGTCGCTTGAGTCAGCAATCTTCCATGTAAGAAACAAAAAAACATAATCGAACGCCAAGCAACCGGTAAATGTCACCTTGCAAATCTTGCATTGGAAGTGCTGCAGCCTTCGTGGCTGGTACCATGATCAAAAAGTGCTAGCAACAGCCGACAGGTTCGCCCGTCTCGGGACACCTCTGTGTTATGACTCCAAATGAGAGTTGCTAAACACATCAAACGTAATTAAATGTGAATCAGTATGAGTATACACATCCTTGGCCAAAAAATAATGAAGATATTGCTGTTCCATGTACAACACATTTCAAAGACATTCAAACACGTTTCGATATAAATCATGCTGAAATCACTTCAGCCAATCGCAGCCAGCCTGCCCCAAATCTTCCAGAACAGTTGAGACCACGAGTGGATCTCTCGTAGCTGATGCACGTACTCCCCCACGTCCCACGTGGAATCTGCCGGAACGGGGGGTTCAACTGGTTCAACCCAGCCGAAACATCGACCTGTCTGGGATCATCGTCTGCAAAAACATGGTTGAACACAGCAAATTTGTACAACTACCCTCTGGTAAACATACAAAAAACAATGGAAAATCACCATGTTTAATGGGAAAATTCACTATTTCTATGGCCATTTTCAATAGCTATCTTAAATTACCAGAGGGTGTGTGAAACACATTGAATTCAGGAATCAGATCAATCAAGAAATCACCTGTTTAAACAGCACATATGAACCTGGACCTGCTGTATCTACGGCAGTTTCATCTGTTGAACCCAATGAAAACAAACACGAAACATCACCAAATGGTGGCGATGGGCCAATTATGTGATCCTAGGCAAAAAGGCTCTGGGCCAATGGGCCCCATTGCTTGTGTTGGTACATGTTGGTACCGAACAATTTTTGCAGCCCCATTGTATCACCATCTCTTGCAATCCCCATCTTTTTGATGGTTTCCGGAGGGTATCAGAGAATTTTGGTCACGTCATGTCACGTCCACGTAAAGCCTATGCTGTGTTGTAGCAACGTGGGGACCGAGGACATGCTCGGTGCTTCGCCTCAGAAACAGAGACCCTGCGGTGTTCTGCACATCGGATAGGGAGATAAATATGATAATAGGAAACTATATATAACTATATATTTCAATGAGATAATGAAATCAACTATGAACTAGTAATCCTCCAGTGTCATCAAACAAGGCGGGCCGCTGGGAAATTCCTGATCAAAATGAAGGTTTTAATGCAAAACCCATGGAACTATATGGGGGATGCCCTTCAAGAAACAAACAAATTGGGCAGCATCATGTTCTTCAACACATTCTCTTTGTGAAGCGGAGTCAGAGATGCAATCATCATGGACCACTGAACAATACCAGACTCATATATGTATGTTTATGAAATATGATAAATATGAAAGAGCTATCGTAGCGACTTTCAGAATTTCAGAAGCCCGGAATTCGTTGTTGAGGGGAATCAGTGGAGAGATTTAAACACCACATAGCTGAGAGACATCATGAGGTCGATGGGGTCACTGGTGTTGACTCTTTGGTTGAAACACAATCATGTGAACATTTCATCTTGCTCACCTGCAGTAAGATCAGCGGCTTTCAATCTCCCAAAACCATCAAGTCTTTTAAGACAATCAAAACCGCCAACATCTTTAGTAATCTACCCTGGCAATTGGTAATTGATGACACTTGCCCATCCCTTCTTAGAGTTTTCCATGGAAGTACCTCAAAACGGTTGGACACCCCGCCTGACGCCGGCGCCTGGGGACAGATCTGAAGCTTGCGCTCCTCCGCCGTGAAAATCCGGCGGCAGCGGCTGCAGCAGAAAAACCTTGGTCTCTATCCTGGGATCGTGGGGGAAAACCAACTTGGGATAGCTTCCCATTAGCGTCAAACAAAAGTGACGCAGTTGTAAATTGCTGCGAATGTCAACGGTATGATGGCGATGACCATAGTAAAAATGGGGTGTTGCAATGTCTATGAAGCCAGACCAAATAGGGGCTTCAATTTTCATACCTTCTGCAACTATTATTGTCAATCCAGCCCCTTGGAGAAGCGGTGAAATCAACACAGATTTACCCAATGGTTTCTCCAAATCGAGTCATACAGATTGCCCGGTTTGGTATTCACAATGATCATCATTTACCTTTACCTTGAAAAATGTTGGGGGCTCCATTTATTTCCGTCAACCAATTTGTGGTGGGCATGGAGTAGTTTCTGGGATGGGTCCCTGCCATGGGTTGGACCGGGTGATTCCATCACATTGCCTGATATGCTGACATCCATCGTTAAGAAAGGCTGTTTCCTTTTGGGAAAAAATGCAAACAACACATAAAAAACAATATCATATATTTTATTCAATATTATTCATGTTTTGAATGCTTGCGGTCATATGAGTCATATTGTTGCTTTGCAGCCATTGTGGGCCATTTGTTTCCCAGTCGCTAAACATGTCCCCAAACTTCCGCACTGGAAATGCCCAGAACCCTGTGGGATCTGGCAACTTTGGTTCGCCGGACAAGAGGCACATGTTCCTCCATGGACAGAATCTCTTGCAGCTTGTGAGCGTACAAGCGACTTTTCAGACGATCGTGCTTGTCCTCAAGTGACTGCGGCTGAAAAATAGATGGGAAAACAAACACCAAGTGAAAGGCTAGACTCAATGCGGAACATGATCATTTACAAGTGGCTTTTGGGAATACACCCTATAGACATTCAAGGAAAATCAAACAAACCCAAATGGCTAATTGCGGGACAAGTTTGGGGTACCAAGGGGCGCATCTGCTGGTTACAGAAAGACACAGAAGTATTTATTGTCTCCATTGGTGAACGCCCCATATTTGCTGGTTGATCTTCTCATTTGTTGTTTGATTGATGCCCTTTTTGTTTGTTGATTGGTTGAATCCTGAATCCACATCCATGTTGGACACACCAAATGCTTCGTGGTGTACATCACCCGGAAGTTACAAGTGCCCTCTGGTAAGCTGACATAACTCCCATTTGCCATGCGTAGATGATTTAAATTAATATCTAAATATTACACCTGGTATACCATGGTGATGCTCAATAGCTCTACCAAAGGATCAATTCCCACTAAATACAATTAATATCCATATCTGGTTGGTGGTTGACCTACCCCTCTGAAAAATATGAAAGTAAGTTGGGATGATGAAATTCCCAATATATGGACAAATAAAATTCATGTTCCAAACCACCAACCAGATTACCAGATGGAATCCGCAAAATCTAGCGTGAACTTCGGCGTCCTCCAACTTCTCCAAAGTGCTCAGGTCAAAGTATGCCGCCAGGCTCAGGACTAGACGCTCCGGCAGGCAACCTGCGCAGCCGGCTTGGCGAGGGAGAGTAGATGATAGTTGGGGCACACGTATTCCGAACTTGAGTAATTATAGAACTAATCAAGTAATATGAAGTAATGATATTTTAGATTGCTTTGGTACATACATAGTTGGGATCCAGTTGGGATAGTTATTACTATTTAATGTTTAGGATTGTTTAGGTATGTACATAGGATCAAATATAGTGTGATCATAGACTGGGTAAATGGTTTCAAATGATGTCATTCCAAAGCAAATGGGGATATAAATGGGTACTTGCATCCACGGATATTCACCCTAAACTTAATAAGGGTCCGCAATGAATAGTTTCTAGGTATTCTGTATATTACGGGGAATGGATTAGCATTTTACTTGCAACTAGGGTTCTTTGATGTTCTTTGGGTATGACACCAACACGATCTGGAAATGTGAACATGGTTAAACCACAATAATATGCCCCTTACGGGCACAGGAAAAAGACGTTACCGCAATTTCATCAAATTTCATTCGTGAAGAAACACGACAGAAACTGGTAAAATACGTGACCAAGGTTTACCCAATGTGGTAGTCTACGACATCCATTGGGCCAGATTGGAAGAGCCACTGCTGAGATCAACCGGCAGGCCGAAGCTGGCTTTTCGGACCTGGTGGCTTAGACCCCACATACCTCAGCATCCTCAAACAGGTTGCAAACCCTTAGCCAAACGTCCCTTTCAAAGCGATACCAGGAGATTAGCCATGCAGTTTTATACGATGATGTCAACGACGGAGCAAAAGCGGGTGTCTTTTGATTGAACATAATGCGGTAAACCATGGCAAATCCAATAACTAATACCATCCCCAATAGGGTTATTATTAGGTATCCCTACTTCAAATAATATAACAAGTTCCTCTGATTCCTCTGATTTGTTTTGGGTATGGTTTATGACATTGGGTTTACCACATCAAGGCACAAACATCTACAAACTCCAATACTTGGAGATCCCCACTCCAAAAAACAAAACGGCACAGCACCAGAGGTCCCCTGCGAACCTAGATCCAGTGGCAAAGCGAGAATGTGTTCCAGGGAGCCGTACATGCGCTCGATGCACTCCTCCACGGGAGCAACGATTCGGTCGAAAAAACATCGGGTACTTTGTGAAATTTCTAATGGCGATAGACAATCCAACAAGCCTAGTACAGGGAGAAAAGGGGCCTGACCATAACCATTTCCAGTAGAATCTATCATCTTAGATGTTTTGCAACACAAATTTGAAATGGGTACCATATACAGTATCCACATTTGCGGAAAGTAAAATCCATTCATGTGGAAAACCAAAAAACGCAAAACCTCCAACTGTGGATAGGGGTATAAAACCCAAATTATATGCGATGATTTGTTGAATTTACCATATTGAATATATACATATATATAATTATATATATAATATTATATTATATGTACATGCATTGCGATACGTCTTCGCATTAAAGCCATATACAAGTATACAGTATGTTCGAATGCACATACACATATATTTGAACTTTCCCTCTCCCACTAGCAGTCACCACAGTTTCATCCAATGCATCCAATGCTTGTACCAGGCTGGTGTCAAGAAGTCGATCTATCCAGCATCGTCAAAACACACAGAAACCCAGTAGCAAATATACCCAAACAAGGTTACCCCTTTACAGCACCATGGGCATGCTTCACTCTGTCGCTTTCGATGATCTCCTCCACCAGCGCTCTCATCTGCAAGAAATCTGCCGAGATCAGAATGGACACCACATCCTGGAAGATGCAGAAAAATGCTGTGGAAAAGGCCACAGTTTTTAAAGAGCCCATAGTGTGGTAAACCCAATAATAAAACATCCCCAAATGCGAGGTTTGTTATGGTTTATTGTTGGCCCCCCATGACTCAATGTATCGTAGCTATATTTACTTAATTACATGACAAGGCCATTTGTGGGGTAGACTATTGCACAAATGATTGTATATGTTCCACACATCGAGCGTTTGAATGGGGAGTATGGCCCGAAAACCTGCCACAAGACCTGCTCATTAAACGTGCGTTTATCGATCACAAAACGGGAGCTCGCAAACCTTGAGCCGTACCCCAAAACAAGAACACGCACCAAATGTGGACATCAGAGTGCCTTACAAAATGCACATATGTTGGCAAAAGAATGAAACTACATAATGATAAAAGCAATAATGTCCTTTTTGTAAAAATAGAGGGGCTGGTATACCATCTATCATTTACCTGTTGTTAAAGGGGTAAACTAACCCCTCTATTCATCAACCAACCAGTGGGAAAAAGACATCTATGGATAAAGAAGTTCGAATCCGATTTCCGACGGCCAACACGGCTCAATTTTTTATGTGTTTTTTCTAACTTCAAGAGGACAGACAGCCCTATTTTTTTTCTGCCTGTAGAAACCCAAATTCCAGAAATACACACAAGAATAAGAAACTTCCAATACTCCAATGGATTTAAACATGGTCAAGTAACGAGAAAAACATCATCAGCAAAAAAAAACAACTTGGCAAGTCTGAACAGGACTCTGGTTGATGGTTTTAACATGTTGGCGCCAAACCCCACGTTTGACCATACCAGTAACCCACAAGATTTCTCCTCCATTATCTAAATCAGACATAATCTACACCCTCCAAGCATGCTACTCTCTGGTGACACAAGTAATGACTGTAGCGTACTGCTTTCAATCAATCCTGAGACATCCATAAGTTTAACAGGGACGCTTTCTACTAGGGGAATCTAATCTTCATAAGGGATCAAATCCCCCACCCCCACTAAACAAATATGTTGAATGGTTTATCAACTTCCACTTCTCTTCATAAGGGATCAAATCCCCCACCCCCACTAAACAAATATGTTGAATGGTTTATCAACTTCCACTTCTCTTCATAAGGGATCAAATCCCCCACCCCCACTAAACAAATATGTTGAATGGTTTATCAACTTCCACTTCTCTTCATAAGGGATCAAATCCCCCACCCCCACTAAACAAATATGTTGAATGGTTTATCAACTTCCACTTCGCTTCATAAGGGATCAAATCCCCCACCCCCTCTGAACTTCAGTTGACTTCCGGCACGGTCAAACATAGCGGTTTGCAGCGATGTTGTTCTAACCTGTTTTAACCCATCCCAAACATATTAAATACTCAGCTCAACCAATCATACCTTGTCTGGTTGGTGGTTTCAACCCCTCTGAAAAATATTAGTCAATGGAAAGGATTGTCCCATATATTATGGAAAATAAAAAATGTTCCAAACCACCAACCAGTTGTGTATCCTTTTGTATGGTTGAAAAAAAAACAACAACCAGGACGCCTTTGTCTCCAAAGTGGAAACTTCTCTGGAACCATCCATGTACTCTGCAAGCCACTCAAAGACCTGTGGCCGACGGTGCCGTACCAGTGCCACCGTCAAAGAAGTGGTGGAAGAAACCATGGTTTTATTGGACGCTTTGAGGATATCAAACATGTAATCTCAACTAGTCTGAAAAAAAACAAGTGATAACAATCATCCAGGTTATTTAAGTGAAACAATATAGACAACCATGGTTTTACTATGTTTTACTACGCATTTGTTGGGATTTGTTGGGGCTTTGGTGCAAAGTTCCCTTTTCAACCATTTCTGGGATGAATACCATAAAACCAAAACATACCTACCAAGACTAACCAAACTGTATGGGTGGATTGTGAACACATGTGAAAATCACCTCCCAACATGACGACTCGGAATTCTGGGAACATATGTGGGATGTGAACAACCGTGGACCGGTGTGAAATGATCATCGCGGCCAGAGATCAGCAGTGTGCCACTGTGGTACCGGATAGCTGTGTCTTAGAACGAATTTATCAATTTACTGTATGTTTGTTCGAAAGGATTACCAAACCCTGGTTGATTCATGGGGAGTGTTCCCCCAAAAGTGATTCCTGGGTTTTGGACATGGATGGACATTGTACCTCCAAATAAAAAGCAATGAGATTAGAATGATTAGATTGGAAATTCATCAACCTTGCCTCGAGGAATCTTGAGGATTAAGGAACTTTGTAAGACTTTACGGTTGATTTTGAGCAGTTTTTTTTTTACTCAGGCCTTTTACTTTCTTAGGGTACCTACGCAAGGTCTACGCAGGCCTATGTTGTGTGGAAGCTAACCTAAGCGGAAGCACATGTCAACAAAAACGCTTGTGCGAGTGCCTACGCAAGTTGTTTGACCGCATATGCAGAAGTGAGCCGCTGGCATCTCAGCCTACGCAATCTTGCTGACCCCGAAAAAGCAACATGTGCCTACAAGAAGAGCCTAACCGCCTACCTTACGCTGCAAAACACGTGTATGACCAGCAAAGGCAACATATTATGCAGTCCCCTTTTATCCAAATTTCATGATATCAAGAAAAACAATGCTCATTTGGGAGCTATTACAACCCATAAACAGTTAGGGTGTCTTCTTGGGTTTATCACTTGGTGTTGTCATCGTCATCATCGTGATCATCGTGATCATCGTGATCATCGTGATCATCGTGATCATCGTGATCATCGTGATCATCATCATCATCATCATCGTTATGGTCATTGTCATCGTCATCGTCTTCATCGTCGTAATAATCCTCATCCTCCTCCTCCTCTTCCTCCTCCTCCTCATCATCATCATCATCATCATCATCATCATCATCATCATCCCCATCATCGTCATCATCATCGTCATCATCGTCATCATCATCATCATCATCATCGTCGTCATCATCGTCATCGTCATCGTCATCGTCATCGTCGTCATCGTCATCATCCTCATCCTCATCATCCTCATCATCCTCATCATCCTCATCATCCTCATCATCCTTATCATCCTTATCACTATTATTATTGGTATAGCATGTAATTACCTGGTAAGTCCGATCATCAAATTTGATAGGCACTATATTGACCAACCAATTAGGGTTGATTGATCTCAGCCTGAAAACACTCTGAGTCAGCCTGGACTGGGGATGGAAACGCAGATTCTAAAACCACCAATCAGTCAAAGACTGGTTCCGTTTCCAAATAAATCATGGCCATGAATTACTGTAAAATATCAGTTATCCAATATCTTGATGATCAGATTCCCCTGTCTGGCTTGTGTTGATGCTGTCAGGGCTGTCGCACCTTGATGTCGCAATGCACCGAGATTTCGACTTCATCGTCCTTGCGAAAGCGGTGCAATGCTTTTGGGCCATGGATTTCACATGAGTCTGTTCAATTGGGCACCACAGGATTCCCATAGGATTCCCATCAGCTTACTCCACTGGTTGACCTCGAACATCGATCGGATCTCATGTTGGAGGCACATAGGATCATAGGGGGGTTCAATACTGAGATGGCCTTGGATGTGTTGAAAAAGTCCGAGAGTATTCTCCTGTCAAACGTTTAGACGTAAAAACAGCGCCAGCTTCGTTCTCACTTTCAAAGCGATTTCCAGCTTTGTGATTTCTATGTTTTTTGAAGGGATAAGTGAGTGTTTAGAAGCTGCTGATCCCACTGCACTTTGCCGAGTCACTGCACTAAGTGGCTATCAATTCCCCTATTGGGCTACCGCAAACCAAGATGTTTTGTTTTGGAACTAAAGGTGACACTCTCACCAACCTATCGATGCAAGAAAATTGAGCGTCAACACACATTAGGATGGCCAACCACCAAACCATTGGGAGCCATTGACAAGGTACTTTTTAGCACGTGAGTCACATGTGAGCCACTGACAATACCTAGTCCCTCATGGACATGGTTCCATCTTGAAATTCCAAAAATCATGGCTATTCGATGCTATTCCAATTGCTGTGAACCAATGGACATCGCAAATTGGCCATGGATCAACATCATGACCCCAATGAAAATATACATTGAAATGTCATACAAATCCATGACATACCTGTAAAACCAATGAAATACTGCACCTTGGAAATTGAAATACAATTGACATACGAGAAAATCATATTATATATATATATTTGCATATATATATATATATTTATTTATACATATATATATATAAGCAATTATATGCATATATTTATTGATACACATGTATATATATATATATACATATTCATATATATATATACAATACACACAAAAATGCTCAGGCCCGGCTGGCCATTCTTGAGTTGTTAAACCCATGGCTGACGCCATCTGCCAAGTCCAAGGTACAGGCGACACGCCCACCAAGCACGCTTCGAAGTACCTTTCAAGGTGGGACAGTGTTCAAGCTAAAGGTTAACTACTAGGGAAAATTTATCTGGTTGCTGGTATACCTACCCCTCTGAAAAATATGAAAGTCAGTTGGGATGATGAAATTCCCAATATATGGAAAAATAAAAATTGTTCCAAACCACCAACCAGTGATTGAAATCTAGATTGTTTCGAGTTGTACAAGTGTGTTTTCTAAACTTTGGCCTGTTTGTTGCCGCTATTCCGCGGTATGTTGGCCTCCTTGTTGAACCGTTGGCCTTCTCCCAACAAGCTGACAGTTCTAGTTGTTTAAATGTTTTAAAATGGATCACATCTCCAGACATCCAGCTGGCAATGCCTACATGGATTCCATGGATTCCATGTTTAGATGAATCCCCAAATGAAGAACCATAAATTTATCTTCATTTAATTTAATCTTAGAAAAGCAGTGTTAATCCACCCATACGTTGATGGCTTATACAATCCATTCATAGTAAATTTGGGAAGGTTTACGATTTCGCTTTACCTCTTGCTGGTTCCTGGCCCAGGCTCCCGAGCAATGCTCTTTTTGGGGCGCACTTCATGTGTTCCAGCAGCTGCGATTGCTTGCAGAAAAAGTCCTTGCGAATCTGGCGAATGTCATCGATCACGTGGATCACCGTGTCACCTGGCACCACACGAGCGCAAGCGTGATAAAACGATGTCCATCGATGTCCAGTCGTGAAAAATCTGCTGTACCAACGTAGATGATGTACCTTGGTCTGTAGAGTCATTGTATATAGTTTACTCATATAAATGATTTTTATTATAAATGTGTGTGTGTGTGTCATATAGACCACAGTTTTCACAAATGGACAGCGTCAAAGGTCAAACTTCAATACATTCAGGTAAATCATGGTATACCGTCCGAGGTCAGCCACACAACGGATATCAAAATATGCTCCGGACCTTCAACTCTTGGTATGTTTCATCATGTCTTATCATGTCCGCCTGTTGAATGGTCCACTGAAATGAACCCCACCTTTTCCAAGCGAACCAATGCTCTCGCGAGAGCCCAGATCCGTCAAACTCATGGCTGCGGGGATATCCTGTGGCTGATCGGTGGCAAGCAACTTTATGGACAAACATTGAAAACCTGAAAATAGGATATTAAAAACGATTCGCTTCATACCTCAATCTTCATTTAAGTGATATCCGTCTAGCTATAGTGTGTCTTATCATTCTTAGTCGAGATCCCTTGATATTATCCGTCTATTATTGCAAAATTGGGACCTGAGGGAAACGGGAATCACACTAAGAAGTATCTTTATACTTTACATCTTGACAAATGAACGTAGGGATGTAACTCCGGGAAGAAAAGTTGGAAGGGCAGCTGCTGGTTTCCAGGTCTCAGCCATGAGTTAACTTGCAAGGTGATCAGCCAGGGCAGAAGTGCAACATGTTGGAACAAAGGCACCCACTCCGCTGTCAGGATTCATTCCAGCATTGTTCAAAAACAATGTACCTTCAAGCTCATCTGCCTATACATGCTTTCTTGGACTGAAGCTTACATGTCTTGGTCTGAACCGACTATGCACAGACTGCATAAACCGCCACGTCTTCAATGTTTCCAGGTTCTCTGGCAGATCACTTGCCAAAATCAAACCACACCTCAAAGCCAATTTAGAATTGATTTCAGTTTCAAAACATGATTTTCTCTATGAAATCCAACAGTATCTCTGCAGGGGTCCAAATTTGTGATTTGACATTCTTATGATGCAACTTTGGCAGGACCCATTTCTATTCGGTTATGTTATGGAAAATGAATATCCAACTTACTGCCCACTCGCCTCTCTTCAAACTCCATTTGCGCAGTCGTAAGATCATCTAGCAAAGACATGATGGATTTGAATGGATTTGACGTTTTGGCCTACAAACAGATTGAACGTCCAGTTTCTTTCTGGGGTCCCCTTCTGTTTAATCATCGAGTTGGGGACAACGTAGTATCGTGCAGCTTGCAACTGAAGATTGAACATATTGCGCGCCAAAGATGTGTTTGTCTTGTTCACATTTCTGCATGTGCATGCGTTTGTGGGTTCAGGTGAGTTCAGCATGTTGTCGCATATATGAACTAAGCCACTTGGCTGTAATTTGGAGCCAAAAGCGAACCAAGGAATACCAGTAAACAAACCGTCAGTTCAAGAACTTAAGAGGCACTGACTTCAGCCAGTGAAACTCAGCTTGACGAAAGAATCCTTGTTTTGTTGTACGAACAATCTAATCCGTCGATCACTTTGAATTTAATCTCTTGTTCTTGTTTGATTCCCTAAATTGTCGGTCAAGTTCAATCATCAATGTTTGCTGATCAAATCCGCATAAAAAAACATGAGGGGCTTTTATAGCAACCCCAAATAGATAGACAAGTGGAAAACCTGGACATAAGTGGTAACTATCATCTATATACACCATCCTCAAAACACTTTTCTATCTTTTGGAGGGTACTACGGATACTATAATCATCCCAATTTTGCTGGTGAATTCACCAGAACAACCGGCCCGCTGCCGCTGCGAATCCACAGCGTTGTTTCACGCCACGATCCATTGCAGAGTGGTCGTAGTCAAGTCACCGTGGCAGCCCAATTTGGATGGTCCTGGAAAGCCTGGGGAAAACCATGGGTCAAAATCTTCAAACTAAGTGCCATGATGGCCCCATATGTGTGTATATATACATATATATATAATTTTGTATATGCATATATTATATGTTTGCCTGCAAGATTGAACAGCCAAGTATCTATTAGTGTCCATTCATTTGGGTACGAAACATGTCACAACTTGCCCGTTGAAACCAGGCACTGCAAACGCGGCTAGTGCTATATGCAGGATACACGGAGCTGTCCAGGCCATCTGTGGGATCACAAGCAATTGCAGGGTACAAAATGACTTGACCTATACTCAATACTGTTCCATTGTGTCCGATTAAAACCCATTTTATATATATATATATATATCACTTGGAATTTTACTTGGTTTAGCCCGAGGTTTGGTGGTTCTGTCATTTCGGTTGGTTATTTGGCAGGTTAGAATTGTCAACAATGACCCCATTGGGAACCAAATGACTTGACCTACAGGGCATAATGTATAGTCTGTATAGTAAATAGTAGTAGGTCAAGTAGTGTGTGCATATATATATATATATATGTGTATCAAATGTACTACTATACTTGTATAATACATTATAATACCATATTCCTATCCCTTGATCTCAGGTTGTGGTGGGTCGTTTGTTTGAGCCCAAAAACCTGAATGGAACTGACACGCTGACCCTGGGTACCTTGGAACTGGAACCTGCTGTTGGGGTGCAAAGCTGGGTTCATTTCATACCTATATCCAAAACAGGTTCACTGTTCACACCAACGTATGTGTATCTATATAAATATGCGGATATATATATATATGCGTATATATATACATATACAAATACATATACATATACATATACATACATACATACATACTTAATTACATACATACATACATACATACATACATTACATTACATTACATTACATTACATTAATACATACATACATACATACATACTTACATTACATTACATTACATTACATTACATTACATTACATTACATACAGACATACAGACATACAGACATACAGACATACAGACATACAGACATACAGACATACAGGCATACAGACATACAGACATACAGACGTACATACATACATTTCATTCATGCATTCATTTCATTTCATTTCATTTCATTTCATTCATTCATTCATTCATTCATTACATACATACATACATACATACATGCATGCATGCATGCATGCATACATACATACATACATTACATACATTGCATTACATTACATACATTACATTACATTACATGACATGACATGACATTACATTACATACATACATACATTACATGATATATATATATATATATGTAATATTCAATAGTATATCCCATAATATCAAATTTAGAAGCCACGCCCCAGCTTTCTACACACCATCCTGGTCGCACGCTCCGCGCCGCGCCTTGATGCAGTGAGCGAATGGAGGTCGCTTGCCACGTACTTTTACCTTGTGGACGTTGCGGCCCAGGGCCAAGCGGGTATACGGTATCCTCTGGTATCCTATACATAGTGGTTCACCCCAGGAATCGTAGGTGTGGCTCACAGCACTTCAGTAGGTTGAGCAGGGTTGGTGTAGCTATAGCAGGGCAATTCAGTTTGGCTGTAAAATTGAATCCGCTTACATATATATATATATATATAAATATGTATATTTAATAAAATATAAATAAATATATATATATATATGTAATATGATGATAAATGTATGCATTATTGAACATGCAGGGAAAACAAAATAAATACTTGACTGTACCCCATGTCCAGGGCTATGGCAGGGAATGACAGCATGATACAGCATGTTGGGGTTCACACACTAAACAGTGGTGCTTGTATCAGCCTCAGGCCTGGCGTCATTCCGTTCGTAATTAATGAATAATGAAGGGAAACACCCCTGCTGAATTTTCTGGTCGTTTTCCCGGTAGGATTGACACTGCAAATCAGCTGTGCTGTGTGGTGGGCTATGGCTAGATGAGAATCTGGATTCCTTGCCGTCACAAACCTTCACAACCTGACTGGTTTTTGAAGTCAAACATGCTTCACTTAAGTCAGCGCACAAAAAAAACATGCAATTTGGTCCCGCAGGTAATAAGATACGCTATAATCCCAATTAGCTACAGTTATATTTACCAAAAACGATAGTAACCTTGTGAATCTGCAACCCCCACAGCCTGCACCCAGTCACTGCCAATCTACGTGTTCGGTCTGTGACTTCTATGGAAACTCCCCAAACAATGAAGAGTTCTGTGCGTTACGATGCATGTAATGTGTGTATATATATATGGTATTTATATGTATTTTTGTATGTGTATAATATAATATATATATGGTGTATATATGTATGTATATATATATATATACATACATCCCAAACGATCTTGGGGGTCTCCAATGCAGGTGCCAGACCTCTCCACTGAAGGTACCGGGGGCCATCGATGTTCCCACGACACCCCTTGACCCTTGGGCTTTGAGGCTCGAGGGCCCGAAGCAATGATTCACAGGCCTAAAGGTTCAACATGTTGAAGTCCTTAGTAATCGAAACAACATAGTGGATGTATATCTATGCAATTGCTTGGCATTGGCCAGTATTTAAGAACATATATGGTTTGCATATCCCATGCTAGATACTTATTATATTTTTAGATACAACCTGTCTGGCCGACGTTGTTTTTTTTCATCGCGGCCAATGGCTGGTGCTGCCGCATGCCTCGCGGCCGGCGCAGCCGAGGCCAGGATTCCACAGATCTGGGGAAGGGCAACCCAGCAACCCAGTTTTTTTTGATGAAACTTATGGTTTGATCACTGCTATGTTTTGGATAGGTTTGGGCATTTGATGTTCATGCCATAAACATGGCTATTGCGATACACTAATACCAAAGTGCCTTTTCATAGACTTTCGCTTCCAACACAGCCTTTTTGATTTGCCCAAACCCGAAGCGGCCTGCTTCGATCGCCATGTCACTCTTGGCTGGAAAAGAAGGTGAAGCCCTTGGCACCTTGGTGATCACACCGGTGTGCAAAAGATATGTCCAAAATCATTGCATGATTTGCACAAAAACATGTCTTTTGGTATGTCTTTCCCCAAGGCATCATCAAGGTTCATTTGCCGAGCAGTGCGTTTCTACAATGTGCTCAAGCGGAAGAAAGCCACAACACCCTTTTCAATGGTGTCAGGGATCATCGAAACGTCAAATATGATGACCTCACCACATACCTTGACCTGGTGGTTCGAATGTACGAGCTTTCACCCGAAGGCTGCATTTCTGATCGCAATCATTTATGTGCATTATGGTTCATGACTATTCGCATTGATCTGTTTATTGTTTCTGTTGGAAGGCGAGCACTCCATCACCTTCCTCAGCAAGGTGTTTGAAAAGCTTGATGAAGAATCTGCGCACAATTTGAGTAAAAGAAAAACCAAGAAAGATCGACAGCGTTGGTATGTTGATGAGGCCATACTGTTTCTTCTATAATTGCTGCAAAATCCCTTGATTTCCCCGCAGCCCTTCCTTCATGAGCCCCTGTTGGTTAAAGGCATACACCCTGTATGCTCTGCTGAGCTATGCTCGGCGATATTGGCGCAAAGCAGTAAAACGTGGCACCAAGGGGGAGGCTAGGGCATGCTATAGGGCAAGCACTTGCACATAGCTAGAGGTAGAGATGTGTTACTGTGTTGCCTGTATTTTTAGGCTTTAGGTGACAAACCCGCCTTGTACTGCCTGCCCTGTAAAGGTTGCAATCAAACTCAAAGAGGTAATGCGGGCGAACATTCGCAAAGCACGCCCTACATGCATGAAGAAGAAGAAGTCAACGTTGGCAATTGAGTGCATCGATATCCCTGATGATGATGATGACCTGCAAATTGTTTACCTTTACCATCCCTCGGGTACCTTCGATAGATTTGACACATAGAATCAATGAGACTGCATGTTGTAGCATGTGCCCCATATACACACGTATATATATAATTAGAAACTGAGGTATCATGTTATCAGCTGATGTCATTGCCGATGATGACGTGATCATGTCTGATCTTCCACTCCCGGGTGATGGTGCAGTTGGTTATGATGTCCCAGATACCTTGCCCGACACCTTGCCTGATGGCGGCCTTTCACCTGAGTTTGGGGACATGCTACATGACAGGCTGCCCCTTCCAGAGGAGGAGGGTTATGATGCGGGTGTGTCCGGCCCAGGAGATGATGTTGTGAGTGTGGAGGGTAGTGATGGTGAGGACTTGCCTGAAGAGCATGCTTTGTCCATTGGTGGTCCATCGCTCTTGGGAATTGTGAGTTCCCGACTTTCACCAACCAAACATCCTGAACCTGATTCTGATGGTCGGCCATCGGTTTTTGGACCTGCCCCATCGCAACCTGAGGTTTCCGTGCTTGTTGACTCAGATGAGGAAACGCTGGTGGAGAAGAAGAAGCAGAGTCTGGAAACTGGGTGTTCGGTGAAGGATCGGATGGGCTGGGACTTTGCTTCTTGCAAGAGGGTATGATCATGGGCACATACAACTTGCAAATTATGTTTACTATTCCCTGGTGTTCCCTTCATTTTACCGGGAGGATGTGGCAACTCCTTGTCGGTCAGATGAACCTGGGCAGCCCTCTGGTGACCCCACAGTACCTTGACCGCGCATTACCCATGAACATATCATACAATCTTAGCACAGGACATGTGTGGCTAGACCTTTTTAATTTTGTCATCAACCCTCCTTTGCTATGGGAAGATAGCTCATGTTTAATGCCAAAACGTTGTGGCTAGATGTTTGTCCATTTAAAGCCCCTTTACCACGTCTAGCAGCGTTTTAGGCGAAGACTAGCAAGATCGCTCTGGTTCCTGCTCCAGCCTACATGAGCCGGATTGGGGAGGAGGTGGCCAAGGCTGCACCTGCAGCCTATGGTAGCCAGTCAAAGCCCCGGGGAAGGAAGCCCAAAAAGGGTAAGAACGTGGAAAAGTCTGATGACCATGAAAGTGGTGATGACAGGGATGACACGGGCTGCCCTCCTGGTCCTTCAGAACATACTATGAAGATCAGAAAGGGGAAGGGCAGGAAAAACAAAAGGGGTTCCAAGAAGTCCACCAAGAAGTCCACCAAGAAGTCCACCAAGTCCACCAAGAAGTCCACCAAACCCACCAAGAAGGGAAAGCGTAAGTCAGCCAAGACCGCCAATCCACCGGGTTTGGAAGACCATGAGCACTATGAACCTAGTGAGCTTGGAGTTCATGACCTTGACAATGGTTCAGTTGGGAGCGGTGGCCCGAGTAGTGGTTCCCGAGATGTACCAGGTGATGTCCCAGGGTCCAATTCTTTGGGTGCACTTCCCAAGGCCAAAGCCAAGGGATCCAAGTCTAAGGGGAAAAACAAGAACAAGTCCAGTGGTAAGGGTGAGCCTGTGGGTCCTGACCCTTTGGAACCTGCCCGTGGCGTTGCACTCCCACACCTCCCGCCCAACATGGTATACCCACCAGACTGGGTCAAAGCTGGCAATGTCTACAGCAATTCTTACCGCCGCGCAAAAGCTGAGGGAAAGAGCCCGGAGGAAATCAAGGAAATCTCCAAGGATTGTGCTGCCCGCTTTCGCAAGTGGGGAGCTGTTGACACGGATCTTCTTGGGTCCTTTGGCTTGTTCAAGCGCCGACGCACCAACCACCCAGGCCCAGAGGAAGATGGACGCCCCGAAGGACATGAAGGGGATGGCATGGACGATGTGAACGGCACCGATGGCATCTCTGGCGATGACGCTGCTTAGGTTGTGGGCTTTGGGTAGATCTAGTTATCGATATATACCGATTGGCAAAAACATGCCATGTCTGGTTGAAACAAGGTTGCAAGCACCCCAGTTTTCCTACACAGAATGGTGTGGGCATGCTGGGCTAGAGCTTCACTTTTGTGTGGGTTTTTGCATGCCTTTCCACCTGTGGCCCAACCAAAAAAACAACTCTTGCATGCATGTATAAGTTTTATAGTGTGGCACACAAACTGTGGTTCCAATTTGATCAATTTGGTGGAAGGTATGCTCTTAGGAGTTGATTGGGGGCAAATTTCAGAGCTTAGACGCACGAAGGCAAAGGCGACAAAAAATAAATATGTGTTCGATCGATCAACTTTGTGCCATGTTTACCACATGCAGTTTTTGAGCACTGCACCATTCAAAACACCAACTCCTCGGCATCGCAGCACCCTTTTCCATTTGGTGCCTTAGAGGTTGACTCTTGCCGCGGCACAGATTGGTATCGCCATGGTGTCCAAAGAGAAGGCCCCGAAGCTACTTGGTATGCATTCAAAAAATGCCACCGCAGTGGCTTTACATCATGTTAACCTATTGGCCACGTGACATTTTTTTGTGGGGCTGCATTCATGATGCGTTGGATCTCGGGAAATAGTTAATTGGCCGTTGAAAGTAAGGAAAAAGAATGCCATGGACAAGTATTTTCCATCGGCTCTTCCTCATGGCAAAGCTCTCGTGGGATGCCTTCCTGTTCGCCTGTTTCGGATCATGACTGCTCTGGCTCTTGTGGCATAGCAAGAAACAATGAAATGCATATATATATATATATGTGTGTTTTTTCCACCCCGCATGTTACAACTGCAGTGATAAACCAAACATCGTACATATTGACTTAGGTATACCCGAAGCTCGCCGAGCCAAAGTATGAGTGTGTGGACTGCTTTTGCGGTGAGGGAGCGGTATCCCATGCCTTTATCAACAGAGGGTATGATGTGGCTTCCCATGATATTTGTCTGACTCCTGATGACGTCTTTTGGCTGGATTGTGAGAACCATGCACGTTGATTAATGTTAACTTTTGGCTAAGAGTTCCCCTATTTTTGCCAACCCCAGCCATCTCATCCCGGCCAGCCACTGGGCCCAAGGACATCTTATCTCCACATGGATTCGTTCGACATCTCCTGAGCGTCATGCAACTGGCCGCAGGAGGCATATGCTTTCTGGGGCCAGTATGTTCGAGCTGGGTGACCATAAATCGACACTTGTTGCAACAACAAGGGGGCCTCGTGTTGGAAGATCACAGCATATCACAGCATATTGTGAAAACCCGCTGCATATGAACCAAAATATTGAGCGTACGTATTGCAATATAATATTTTCCGGCATGCATGGTCATCGATCACTTGCTCTCCGCAATTGAGGATCTACATCAGGAAGAACGAAAGAACGGCCGATGGGAAGGAGGACAGGCCCACCCCATCATTTGATTTGTCACTTTGCCCACCTTGGAATATCTGACCAAACAACCTACAGTGGGTACACACACATATATATATAATATTTTATTTATAAATGATATTATATATATATATGTACGTATAGATATCCATATGTAGTTGTGGGTGGCTTAAGGCAGGTCTAGACATAGTGGAGCCATTTGCACTTAGGGTTACCAGGGTCTGTCCTCGTTGCCGCAGGACGCTGAAATATATCCGGGATGCTAATTTGATGATTAGCCGTGAACTTTGGTGGATTTAGTGGCTGTGGGATGCTGCGGGGACATAGGGGTCAAGTGGTGATCTATAGTTGATTTAGCTCCATGCACTCAAAGATTTTTTAAAACACATAGCACTCCCAAGGTATGCCTTCTTTTATACGTCGTTCAATTCAATGCTGCCCACTGGGTAGTAGAAAATCCCCTGAGTTCGTTGGTCCCGATCTTAATTTTCAATCAACTGCAAAACACATAATCACAGGCCAGATTCATCCAGCAGCGGCCGCTTGTGTGGCTGCACGCTGGACTAGAAACATGGACCGAGCATATATGGCAATGCCACACCTGTTTTCATTGTTTATAAGTGGGTTTCGTGGCCTAAGGTTTACTTGCATCGCAGGTTTGCAAAGTTGCTCAAGACCCGACAGCACCACAGAATTTGCACATGGCTTGGAATGTATGGGTCAAAAACTCCAAAGCCAATCCGCTTATGGAGCAACAGCCTATTCGTTGAGAAGCTCAAAAGGACTTGTTTCATGCTACCCATATGCAAAAAGTATGCTAACATGCCAGCCGATGGGTTTAGTTTAGATGCATACTTCCACATGGACCCCCATCACTGTATTTCCATGTTTGCAGGAAGCTTGTTCGCTCCAAATTCAACGGTGGTAAAAGATTGGCTGATACCTACTACAATGCTGATGGCAAGAAATGCTTTAAGGGAAACAAGAGGTTGAAGGCTAGCTCTGCGTACCCACCGGCTTTCGGAAGAGAAGTGCCCTGCCCCAACCATAGTGTGACAAGTTTCTGACTGTTGCTCCATGAGGTGCCCTTACCAACCTTATCTGCCACCCGGCTGCCTGGCCCAGGTGCTTCGTCAATGGGGGTTGCATGCACGCGTTGACCAGATCGAAGAAGGCAAGGTTGACTACACATGTGATTCTTGGAACGATGCCAAGCTGCTTGGTTGGCGTATATTTTCATCAATTATCCAATCCATTTTGCCCATCATGGGGTTATATATCTCGATACCATCGTTACCCCGAGTATTTTGGAACTATTGTATCCATTATGCATAGGTATGATCATGGGGTCATATATCTCGATACCATCGTTACCCCGAGTATTTTGGAACTATTGTTTCCATTATGTAAAGGTATGATGGAATTGCCAATCCTAGGCTCCACGAAGTGGAGAAGTATGTGGCGGAGTTGATCGAGAAACACCGCAAGCCCAAATAGTTGACCTAACGGCATCCAAAATCTACTTTATATGGAATTTAGCCTAGCGTGTTGACCAAGTGACACGCATGTGGCATGTCAAACAATGCAAATACTTATGGATTCCAACTGCATGCATGCAAAAAAAAGGTCTCTTCAGTTGCAGGTGATGCTTTATAAAGTGGTGGCCCTTGAATATTTAACCATGGGTTGTTGATGGGGAAGTATTGAGTTAACTTAAGTTTGCGTTACCCGTCAAAGACCACCCCTTTCTCCGGAGCACACCTAAAGATCAAGGGCACACAGTATGCAAATCAACATGTTATGTACATGCATATAGACATGACAAGTACATGACCGGGGATGACTCAAAATTATGTGCCCTTTCTTCTCCTTGAAGTAACGATTTTTGGGGCCAAAAAGGGCGCATCAGTTTGAGACATTCCCATGGTTAATATATAATATATATAATAACATGTATACATGCATACGTGACACATCTAGAATATGGAATCCATGCATCCTCGAGATGATTTGTTATCATGATAACATCATCACAAATGTTGCATTCATGCATATGGTCGTGGAAGTGAGTTATTGTTTTACAGCATATGTTCAGGAATCTTTTTTGGTGGGTAGGTATCTAAGTATATAGTGAATATGTATCTATCTATCTAACTATCTGTCTATCTATGTATCTGTCTATGTATCTATCTGTCTGTCTGTCTATATCTATCCATCTATCCATCTATCATCATCTATCCATCTATTTATCTTTCCATCTATCCATCTATCTACCTATCTATCCATCTGTCCTTCTATCCATCTATCCATCTATCCACCTATCCACCTATCCACCTATCCATCTATCTATCTATCTATCTATCTCTATCTCCATCTCTATCTCTATCTCTATCTCTATCTATCTCTATCTCTATCTCTCTATCTCTCTATCTCTCTATCTCTCTATCTCTCTATCTATCTCTCTATCTATCTCTCTATCTATCTCTCTATCTATCTATCTATCGATCTATCTATCTATCGATCTATCTATCTATCCATGTATCTATGGACGGTACACAGTGCATTTACAAACTTGAAATGGGGTTTATAATGGCCTTACCTGCTGCCCTTTCTGATGCTCTATCTGACGCCCTATCCGATGCTCTATCCGATGCTGCTCTATCCGACGCTGCTCTATCTCACGCTGCTCTATCTCACGCTGCTCTATCCGACGCTGCTCTATCCGACGCTGCTCTATCTGACGCTCTATCCGACGCTGCTCTACCCCACGCTGCTCTATCCGACGCTGCTCTATCCGACGCTGCTCTATCTAACGCTCTATCCGACGCTGCTCTATCCCCACGCTGCTCTATGTGACGCTGTTCTATCCGACGCTACTCTATCCGACGCTGCTCTATCCGACGCTGCTCTATATCTGACGCTCTATCCGACGCTGCTCTATCCGACGCTGCTCTATCTGACGCTCTATCCGACGCTGCTCTATCCGACGCTGCTCTATCTGACGCTCTATCCGACGCTGCTCTATCCGACGCTGCTCTATCTGACGCTCTATCCGACGCTGCTCTATCCGACGCTGCTCTATCCGACGCTGCTCTATCTGACGCTCTATTCGACGCTGCTCTATCCGACGCTCCTCTATCTGACGCTGCTCTATCCGACGCTGCCTATCCGACGCTGCTCTATCTGTCGCTGCTCCTCCAGCTGACGCTGCTCTATCGGATGATATGGCATGGTCAAGGTCAACCCTTCTAGGTTTTGGTGGATCCCCAAAATGTGGAATAGCTTTTGGTTGCTCCAATTTGGGACTGCAGGCAGGCCCCAGAATGTGTTTCCTTTTCTGGGGATGGCTTGTCCAGCGCACAGGCCCTGATCTGGGGGGTGGCACACCCTTACATACGAATACTAAAGGGGCAAACGGTCAGATAGGGAAGGTGGGTACCAGATTTCAGCGTCAGATGGGCGTCGGATGGGCGTCGGATGGGGAGTAAGGGTCTGTCGTTTTCAAATTGGTTTGAGGGCCCCTAGCGTCAGATGGGCGTCGGATGGGCGTCAGATGGGGGCACT